ATCACAGGTCTTGCAGATGCATTTGAATAGCTGCCAACTTTCTCTCTATTTGCAGTTTTTTTAATCTTTTTTTTTATAGTGAAAAACAAATGTTTTAGCAATTGCAACCAAAATTCATTACTGCATGATTAATTTTCATTTGAATAGTTTCCTTTTTAAAATAATTCGACACCATAGAAGTCAAAGTTCCTTTCAATAAATATTTGTGTATAAATTTTGCTTCTACTTAATGTAAAAACAAAATTTCATAAATTGAGAAAGTTGGCAGCTATCAGTTTTCAATTTTGTTCATTGATAAATGACTCATTTCTGTCTTGTTGGAAATAGATAAATAATTTATGATTTTTATTTGTACAAAACTTAATATTAAATATTATTTGATCCAATTTTGAACTAACAATGAACAAATATCAGTAACATTTGGTTTTTATTTAAATAAGTTTCAACGCTGAACAAGATTGTTTCCCATAACAAACTGGTCCCTCAAAGCATTTGTTTTCCTCAGCTGTTACTTGTTTTTTGAAATATTTTATAGTGTATAGCCATAATTTAACTTGTTAAATTACATGTAAAACTTTTTTCTGTATTTTAATGTAAAAATTAAATTGTAATGTAAATTTTATTGCAATTTGCATTTCATTTGTCAAAATTTTGTTTTTTTTTAAAAAAAACTTTTAAGAATAAAATTATAAATTTATTGATATTTTATGAATGAAACTTATTAAAAAAATTTTGTGATAATATTATGAAGATTTTTATTTTTAGTAAAAGAATACAAAATGCAAAAGAGTTTTATTTTTAATAATATTTATTCAAATGTAGTGATAAAACTTAAGCCTGCTTGCCATTACGTTTAAAAAAAATAGTTAAAATAAACTTAATTAAAAGTTTATTTTAGTTATTATTTTTCACTCAAAAGTCAAAATTAGGGAAATTGATTTTGGGCATGTATTATTTATGTGTTACTTTTTCATTTTTTTTTTATCAAATCATAAATTAAGAGCTAACAACATGATCAAATCATGTAGAAATTTTGCTATTCTGAATAATATTAGGTGGAGTATAGCAAAATATAACTTGCAAAATTTATAGCGTATCATAAGTTAAGACTACTGAAGCCATGGATCAAGCAAGCAAATAAATGGTTAATTGATAATACATACAGATTAATTATTATATTGTATAAAATAAACTATGTGAGTATGGCAATAAAGATAAATCCCCCTCTCAAGTTTTGAAATTATAGTATCTATTTACATTTGTAAAAAATCTATATAAACCATTGCAATAATATGCATAACCAGATAAAAGGTTTCATTTATAGCTTAGCATATTCGATGCTTAGAAGTTGCATAGATCGAAGTATTTTTATTCTACATTACTAGTGAAAACATTCATTCCTTTTTTTTTCACTATTTCATACTGTTGTTTGCTTAATTGTGTATATATAAATAGAAAAGTAAGCAATTTGGGGTTTGAACAATGAACAATGCAACAAAAACAAAATTCTAAGTCCAACAGCACCAAGATGCCTGCAATATTAGAAACATACATGAAACAAAACAAAGTAAATTATTTAATAAAACAATGTTGTAGTCCATAATTTGTTTTTAAATTTGAAAGTAGGCACAAAAAACAAAACAAAACTGCTACATGTTTATTATCATGCTGATTTTCGTGTGCACCTTCTATTTTTAAAATATGAAGAATTACATTGAAATATTCTTCATAATGTTCTTTAAACTTCTTCTGCCAATGCTTGTCTTTTGCAAATTTTTCAAAAAATTTTGCATCTTAATTTATGAGCTCTTCCGTTTTTTACCTATAGAACTATTGCACTGGTCTTTTTTGATAATATATATGCATCACTCTAGTCTGTATGTGGCAATAAAGATGTTTCAATACAGCATTTATTGGCACTTCTAATGTCATTATTTAATTCAGTGATCACAAAAATTGTGTAACAATTCACACTTTTTGTTTAATTTTCAATGCCACACCTCCATACATTATTTTTCATTTTACTGAATATAATAACATTTCTTAGAGGTAAAGATAACTTTTAATAATTGAGATTCATCAGTTATTTTCTTTATTCATTTAATAAATCAGTAAAAAGTTGTGTTTGAATCACATTGTCCATGAGATGTTTTTGGTAATAATTTAAATTTTTTGTTGCAACTCATATCATTTGAAATTATCATGTGTTTTTGTTTAAATTATAAGGGACTGACAGTTTCAATCAATTAAAAAAAAAACTGTATGCAAATATATTTCTTGTAAAAGTAACAAAGTAAACTGTGAATAATTTACTATTGCAATCACATAAACTCTTCGAAAATTTTGTTTTTATTTGATATTACCTATCAAAAGTCTCTAAAGTTGTTATCCTCAACCTCGTTATTCCCATTTTTAAATGATTTAAAATTTTTATTAATCTCCCGTCGTCTTATGATGTTTTTAAAACTGACAAGAGGGCCACCAGATTTGGTGAAAATTCATTAAAAAAAACTGTTTTTATGTAGTTTTTATTTCATATTTTTTTTTTCAATTGTGCTTCTAGTTATATATATATTCAGAAAACTTTTTGATGTTCTTTGTTTTAGTTTTTTGGGGAAATTTGGTGATTCATTTGTACTTTACCTATAAATAAAATACTCCTAACTAAAAGCAATAAGCTGGGTAAAATTGATTTCAATAGATTTTTTTTACTGTTAGATCTAAAGAGGAATCCTAAAACGTCTATGTTGCTAAACTAATTCAAAGTGAATTACATTGAAATTCAAAAACATTATGACTAGAAACAAACATACATTTTAGTATTTTTATAAGGACAGGCTGCACGGCAGCCATATTTACATCTAAAGAGACATAGAACATAAACAGTTTGTGAACACTTAATACTGAAGAAAATTACAAAACGTATAATACTCTGAGCTATGAAATGCTAAATATGTGATCATTATAATACAAGTATCTTTGAAAAGTGTGGTAGGATCTCATTTTTGTTTAAATTTTATTTATTAAAAAAAGTTTTTTAATTGTAATGTGAAATTTTTTTCTACATTTGGTGCCCAGTAAGCAATTGATATTATTTAAATTCTTAATTAGGTGCATAAAGTTAATTTAATGGGTTTATTTCATAAATTTGTTCATTTAGTAGATTTAGAACTTGTAATTAGGTTCTTTTTTATTACATATAGTGCATGTTCATAGAAATTTTTATTAAATGTGAAAAATTTGGAACTTTTATTCAAATTTTTTTGTTTGTTTTTAATTTATTATTCTAAATATCTAGAAAGTGTTTATAACGATTACGGAATTTAAATTCTATTGCCAATGAATAATTGATGTAACACTTGGATCATGAAATATTTCTAGTAATTTTTTTTATACTACTATCTTTCTCTTTTTTTTTATTATTTTAAGTTTTATTTTTAAGATTTCAATTGCTTATAATTTTGTTGTAATTTATTTTTTGATAAACTTTTTAATACATTTTAATATACATTTCCAGAAATTTTTTGACATAGATAGCAAGTAATTTTCTTAGTAAGGATACAAGACATAAATAGGAATACTTCTCATTGAATGGAGGAAGTATGGAACACACATAACACTTAACAGAATCTAGTATAAAAATAAACTATATTCAAAAACCAGTTTCATTTAACAAATACATATTATTCTTCCATTTTTCACCTTTAATGAGCAAAATATTAATTCATTCTTTTAATCATCCCCTGAGCAAAATATTTTAGTAATTTGAAACTTATTCTTTATTTCTCAACACAGTAAAAAAAAGTCTTGGAAATATAAGTTTTTGCTTATTTTATGCTAACCTTTTAATTTAATTTTAGAAAATAAAATTTGCTAAATTAAATGCATTATTATAAAATTCTGAATTTAGAAAATATTATTAAATGCTTTTTACAACTTATTTTTGCCTGAAACATATAAAAATAATGCAGATAATGATAATGATGGTATCATGAATTATTGAGAATGTTTGAGTTCATTTTTTCATTAATTATTCTTTTTCAAAAAATAATTACTCAACTTTGGGTAAAATTTAAAAATCTGTTTTATTAACACATATTTTTTTTCCATTAATATTTGATCGAAAATTTTGGTTTTCTTATAATTTAGTAATCTGTTTAATATTTTAATATAATTGTAAAGAAAAAGAAATTTTTTTCTTAGTAAGTGTTGGAACCAATTTTGAATCTCATTTGAAAGGATTTCAATTAAATAAATAAAGTTAAATAATTTATCCATATAATTATCAATATCATTTTGTGTGAAATAAAGTGAGTGGTGTTTCATATTTAAAAAAATCTCTAAATCAAGTTTGAAATAACAATAAAACATTTTATATTGTGATAAATATTAATCCACTGCAAGTCTTAAAATTTTTACTGAGCTTATTCAATATGCAAAATTGGCATGGAATTAATTTTTTCTTAAATTTATTTCCTGAACATAATGGAGCTTTTCTTCCTGAACATTGGTAGAAATATTTTTTATTTTATATCAAACATTTAAGTTTTGGTCTACAATTGCATAAAATATATTTATTGTTTAGTATTATATTCTGTATAATTAAAAATATAAAATTTTTTAGTTAATTTTATATATATATAAAATTAACTAAACTATATAACTTTTTATATATATTTCTTTCTTTCTTTCTAAATTGTGAAATTTAAAAAAAATTCAAAAGCAACTAGTACTAATAGTGTTTATAATTTTTTACTTTCTCATATAGTATAAGTTGTTACAAATATTTTTTTCACTTTCATATAGTCATGAATTTTTCTTTGTAATATACTTACAAATGTGTAAACTAAGTTCAGAAAATTTAATAGGTCTCAGTTTCTAATTAGGGTGTGGATAATTTACTGAATTATATTCTATGTGTATTAAATTGAATCGGCTTTATATTTTTGACATTTGTTCAATGGAGTACATAATAATGTATGATTATTTTATTTTTTAAGGTTACTTAGCTTTCTTTTAAGATAATTAGCACCTACATTAATAGGGTAAGTTTTATATTTTTTAAACTAAATAACACTTATTTTATTATTATTTCCTTGCTGATTTTTATTTAATTCAAATTTACTATAGTTAAAAATTAAAATGTCATGTTTTTATAACTATTTGGTTCTGTTTGCGATTAGAAAATGCATGTATCATTAGAGGAATCCAGTTCTGAACTTCAAAATCCATCAAATTAATTTTGTATGACAAATAATTACAAACCTTCAATACATCATCAAGAAATATAAAATTTTGTTTCATTTAAAAGCGTGATAACACTAAAATACATTTCTCGGTATGTATAAACCATCTTAGTTTTGTGAACCAGAACCACCACACTATTATTTCGAGCACCAGTTACATTTTCGGTTGAATTTGGCAAAAAAGGAAATTAAAAGACGCTTGCATTTTCTATTCTGGAAGATAATTGAATTCATATAGTCATATAGATGAATCCAAGTTGTGCTAGAATATCACTCATGTATTGGGAGCAAAAGGAATGTGTGTTAGTAATCATCTTCATTGAATGACGATTTGTTAGAGAAGTGATTGTAACAGATGTAAGTGTACATTATCACCAGGAAGTGTTGTACTATCTCCGTTCTTCTGTTTGTGGTGGTAATCTTTCTTCGCCTTCTGGAATACCGAAACAATTATCTAGGAAGCTCTCCATTGTTCTATATAAATGGGATTTAACATTTGATAGCCCATGAGACTCATCAGGATAAACCTGAAAAAATAAAAAGTGGTATTTATCAGTAAAACCCGAAAGAGTGCTTTAAAATTAGGGTTAAAGTTTTCCTTTGTAGCTTACATATTTAACATATTTTTAAGAAAAACTAACATTAATTATAAATAAAGATTGTGCAAATGAAAAGTAGATGCCGGTAGGAAATTGTGTAAGAAGCAAAGCAGCAGCACCATTTTAAAGGAAATTATAGTTTGTCTAAAGTAAGAACTCCCCTAGAAATTCATCTGGACCCATAGGGGTGACTATGGTAACGAGGTATAACTATTCCAAGTAGGGGTGTGGGGTTACTGTTTAGGATGGGCTGTGGCTGGGGTCGGTGAGAGAAAGGTAATCTTTTACTTTGGTCTGTTGTGTCAGCCCTAGAGTGAAGAGAAGTTACCCTCCCTGAAATGCACTATTTTTGTTTCCATAGCAGCAGACGGCCTCAGACTCTGTGGCGGGACTGTAGACAAACTGTAGGTGAAGTGTGCTACATATTCCTTACCTTCTGTATAGATTAGATTTTTTAAAGTTAATTTTATATTTTTGCATATTTTGACCCTTTGTCTGAAATGAGTTATTTCTGAGAAATGTATTTATAAAATTTGTTTATCCAACTATAAACTATTTAATGCATATTATTTAATATTTATGTAATTTAATAATGAATATTTTAAATTGCAAGATATACATATTTTAGGCTTGACAAGGGCTATGAAAAGACTATGAAAAACAGAAAAAAAAGTCTGTCTTATCAGGTATTGTTTTTCTTTTTTTTAGCTTTCTGTGTAAACAGAATGATTGATAATGGTATCTAATTTCTTTTAGTGTGTATATGTTGGTAAAATGATTCCTATCTATCCTTTTCAATGATGTATTTTTATAATTAATAATTATTTATAAAACATATCATTAATTCTAATATTTGATTAGAATTTTTAATTAATTCAATAATTTTGATGGTGCTCAGTAACCAGAGTAGCATACTTATTTTGTTTACTATTATTTTGATGTAGAGTATTTAGACAACTTTTGACCTAATGATCAGCATTTGATATGATAAGCTAATTTCATGGTTTGTGTTAAACTTTTTTATTATGCTCATTAATTTGTTTCAGGCAGTATTTAAGTTAGAAAATCAGACACAAGAATGTAATTTCTTTGAATAAGTATACCATTTTTTGTTGGATTTGAACTTCAAGATGTGAGAATTAACTGGGACCTAGACGATATGGTCCCAAAACTCCAGTTAGCAGAGTGACAGAAATTTGGAATCCTCATTGTTAATTTCTTTTTTTAAGAGTTCTGCAGCAGACCCGGAACTACACTGCACTAGTATTCAATTGAAATTGCAAATTTTCAATTAACTTCAGAACTACTGGATTGAATTTAAGGAAATTTGGTCTGATTATAGGTAGATATAGCAAAAAATAATAATTCATATAATATTCACATTCAGTAAGTGTTACACATATCTAACACTCATTTGAGTCACTAAGTAAGAAACAGTAGTTAGATTAGCATGAAAAAAATGAGTTAATTTTTTATATGATCTACTCTCAGCGATATTGGCTCAAAAAGTGATTTAATTCTGAGAATGAGGCATTTTAGGAGTTCAGTGCGCTATATTTAGATGCTGGATGATTGCTTGTAGTCAAGTCCCTAGCCTATTAGCAATTTTTAACATTATCATATTTAAGTGAATCAAAAAAATTTGTCCACAGTTCCGAAGTTCATCAACATACTTTTATTTCTTTACAAATTTTTACAAAATTTAAAACTATTGTTAAATTTAACTTTTGGAATTTTTTTTTTAAATTAAACTTTTTTTTACATTTTACCTCTTCACTGATTAAGTTATTAGTACTATATCTTACAGATTGCAGCTAGCTCCCATATTTTGAAGGATAAAAAAGTATGTTAATTTAGAAAGTAATTTTTTTTTGTTTGATTTCATAACTGAAAAGATTGTCTACATAACCTTTATATGAAAGGTTAGAACTGCAAACCATTAAAATTATGTGTCGTAGTAAGTGGAACTGATCATTTTATCAAAACATCCAAAAAAAAATATCTTCAATGCACTGTAAAGTGTGCAGAAAAAAGGACCAGCTTGAATAACTTTTGATCTAATGATCGGACTTTTACATTCTAGGATTCAATTTGTTATCTCAAATATGCCATGGTGCGTAGTGTTTTTAAAAAGTGCTTAAAGGTGCTTATTTCATGCAGTGTTTTTAAAAAGTGCTTAATTTTCCGTTTTCGAAAATGAGATTGTTTTCTTTATGTCGATTTGCACTGCATATTATGCAAATGCGATGTTTTCACATTGTTCTATTCAACTTTTCCACAATTCATTCATCCTCAATCCGTTTTGGCGTACCGTCGGTCTGTAACGTATGATAACACCAATCATGCAACATGTTTGATGAAATACTAGGGAGTCAGCATGTGCAACTCTGCTGCATTTTGCAAGATTTTCCACCCTCTGATATCGAACCAAAAAATCTCTTGATCATTTCATAATGGTTAATGTAATCACGAAAAGAGTTCTTTGTCAGAAACTAGTTATTTTATCATGATCATGTAAAGTCTTTGAGAATTATTTTGCCTTTTGTTAATGTATATAGTGCTTAGAAATATTTTTTGAGTACTTAAAAGGTGCTTATTTTTTGTTAAAAGATTTGGCTATGCACCCTGTATGCTGATTAATAAGAGCAGACAATATTTTAAGTTACGAAATCAGATACAAAAACATACTTTCTCTGAATAAACATAATTTTTTTCCGGCGGATTCGGATTTCTGAGCCCCAAAATATAGGGTAGCTGCAATCTGGGAAATATGGTCCAAATAGTTTGGTCAGGAGAGCACTCCAAAGTTTGACCCCTTAATTTTACTTTTTGTGTATTTTGCCATATCACGAGAACTTTTTAAGGAAATTTAAAAAAAAAAATTACACTTCGTTTATTCAAAGATAATTTCGGGTAAAAAATAGCTTTTAGTAAAGATTTATTATTTTTTATTATTTTAATAAAAATGGTCAAAAAATTTTGGATTGTAAGGCAAAATTTTTTCCTTCATTTTAAGGAGTATAATTTTACATAGCAAAATCAAGGGAATAGTTCCCTAGAAATCTAATTTTGAAAAAGTCATATTTTTTAAAATTCGATTGCTCATTAAATATTTGACTGATTTTGCTCAAATTTTGTATTTTGCCATGTTTAATTAAATTCTTTAAAATGATGCAAAAAATTTTATACAATTCAAAAATTTTTCAACCACTTATAAAGTAATAAATAAAAATTATTTACTGAAAGTTATTTTTTTCACGGAATTACCTTTGGATAAACAAATTTTATAATTGAGGGTTAAATTTTTTTAAACTCACTTAAGTTCGCGAGATATGGCAAAACTCGCAAAAAGTAAAAGGAATCCAAACTTTGGAGAGCTCTTCTGACCAAACTATTGGAACCATATTTCTCGGATTCCGACTACCTCCTATGTCTGGGGGGTGAGAAAGCCAAACCCGTTTAAAAGAAAGTATATTAATTTAGAGAAAATTGTGTCTGATTTCGTAACTTAAAATATCGCCTGCACTTACTAATTAGCATATTTGAGGTCATCCCCTTGAGCCATTAAGATGAAGTCTTAGAATGGGAAAATCTGATCATTAGAGCAAAAGTTTTTCAGGATGATCTTTTTTTTCTCTTCTTCACATACTATGCAGGACTGTATATATTTTTTCTTGGAGGATATTATCAATAATTTTCAATCGATTGCTAAATAAAGTATGCTTGCTATCTTTTTCAACATTTTTAATGGTCTCATTCTTATTTTATTACCTTGTTTGTAAAGCCTATCTTGACCCTGCCACAGAGAGTCTTGTCTAAAATGTTGTGTTTATATGTGCAACAATTGACAAATTTTTCAGGAAATATGGTCATGGTTTGATTTAAGAGTATTTCATTATTTCAATGAAATTGTAAAAGTGCTTTCTAAGATCTCTTGTTAACTTCTTCCTAAGGCTTCTTGTTTGTTGCGTGATCAAACATCCTTACATACTATTAAGTCTTTGCAGGGATCTGCTAGTGTATACTTACCCTTACAAAATGGCAATTTTGGCTTCATTAGCAGATTCTTGCGAAGACGTTTAATCAGTATTACAAGACATGGTAAATAATCAAATTAACAAGAAATTTGATTCTGTCATTTGGCTGGCTCCTGAACTGATTGACACAAAAATGCAAACGAGGCTCCTCGTGGTATCAATTGGCCGAAAGAGGATCCATGTAAATAATAACAGGTGGGAATTGGAATGCAAGAATTACCAATCAAAAATGGTTAAAAAGATATCAAACAGCCTTTATTTAACAATGGTTTGAAAGCCTTTCAGCAAATATCTGCTCTATTAACATATACAGGGTTAAAAAATAGCTTCGAAACTGTCAAATATCTTAAGAAATATTCATACAATCCAAAAAGTAAAAATAGTCACATTCATTGTTTTTTAAAAGCTATCTAATGATATTAAACTCAATTTCCCACTCCTACTTAATGGGGTTGGGGCGGAGATCAACTTTGAAGCCTTAAATATAAACACCTATTTTTTATTGAAGATTAGGATTCTTCAGAAAAAAGTAGCCATATTTGAGTTTCAGGTTTATGCATTTTGCTTCACAGATGGCACTTTAACAGAGAAAAAATAAGTGGGGTACAAGCTGTTTAAAATGGCGAATATCGAGACCCATCAAATAAAGAAGATAAACAGACTTTTTAGAAAATTTATCCTTTTTTTTATTGAAAAAAATACGGAAACATTTTTAGTTTAATTTGAAATAAACTAAACTCAGTGGTGCAACAGCCCATAGAGGGCCAAGGCCTACTGTGCCCATCTCAGTTTTCTTGACCTTGGGCTCCGGGGTGCAGGAGCAGATGTTCCGGTCTGGTGGTCAGCCGAACGCGGAATCCCCAGTGTTTAGTTCCCAAGCATGCTTGGTACTCATTTATCGACCCACTGAAGGGATGAAAGGCTGAGTCAACCTTGCCTGACCCGAGGATTGAACCCAGGGCCTGTGGCACAGGAGCGCTTTTCGATTTTTTTTTCTTTCGAAAAAAATAGAAAGACAACTTTAGCTTTATTTATTTATTTTTTTTAATCTGATGAGTCTTAAGTAACCTCCATTTTAAACAGTTAGTATATTTTTTTAAATTTTCTCAGTTGTAGAGCCACCTGTAAAGTAAAATATATAAACATACAGCTCAAATAAAGTTAAATTGATTTGGAGAATACAAATCTGCAATGAAAAATGGAGGTTCAAGTATAAAATATCAAACTTACCCCTACCCCACTTCCTGGGGTGGGGTTGAAAGATAAAGAGTTTGGTGCTGTTAGTTAGCTTTTACAAAATATTGAATGTGTCTAGTTTAACTTTTCAATATGGTGAATTTTGTTTCTATATCAAATTGTAAACAAATTATATTAAGATTACGGCATCTTATTTGCAACTTGATATTTTTTTAAAAAAAAATTTTCAATTAGTATGGTAATGTTCAATTAAATTAGTATGATAATGTTCAATTAAATGGTAATATACAATTCTTTCGTGTTGCATACCAAAACATTTTTGTACTTAATGTGTATTTTTTATAAACGTTTTTGTTTGTAAACAGAGAAATTTCATAACCAGCTTCAAGGAAAAATAAAACTTGAGTATTCTTAATTGAAATTTGATTAAAATTTTTTTTAAAGAAATTTGTCTTTTTTGATGCTTTTTAATATTACTTTTAACATCAGTATTATTGTATGCTGATTGACTAATAATTTAAACTATTGGAATATGTTTAAGTACTTACTTGTGCATGGTACATCACACCAGCATCTGTGATTGCTTTCATAAGCATCAATGATTGTTGAGCATGCACATTATCTAAACAAAAAGAAGCTCAAACTTGATATCTGATATAATAATACATTTAAGGGAACAAGCAAACTAAAGCAAGTTAAAGTTTCTATAATGTGGCAGATTTTGAAGCATAATTTTTTATCTCTATAAATAATTTTTAAATAAATTTAAATAAGATCAAAGATTTATTTTATTTTAATTTTTTTAATGAAACAAACTTTATCTAAATAATACTAAAAGTAAAAAATACTGAATTAGTATTACATATATATTAGTACCAAACAAAACATTATAATTTATTGAATCAATTATAACTGTTTATTTTTACAGTCTTTCTGCTATTAAATGCAGGAAAAGCATGATCACTGATATACGAGTTTTAAAACTAAATAAAGAGAAATCTTTTTAAAAAATGGCAACGCACAATGCTTAAAAAATTAATGTGAAATAAGTTTTATAGGCAAATAAATTAAAATAATCACTCTTGTGATATCACTTCCAGCAATAAAATGTCATTAAATAAATGCAATTTATACAAAAATTAATAAAATCTTTGTAAATCATATTTCATGGAATGTTTGTTCAATTATGTTCAATGGAATGTTATAATACATAAAATGGTAAAATAGTGCTAAGTGCATCACGAAGTCAAGGATAATAATAATTTTGATATTATGGAATTAGCAAAAATTAGGTCTTTATTTACAATTCATTATTACAGTTATAATCCTGATAAAAAAAATAAACCTTTAAAAATTCCAAATATAGTATAAGCTGGTAGTTTATACTGTATTTGTATAACAAAGTTGGTTAATTTTCTAACTATCTGACAAAATTTATTATTTGCTTACTTAGTGTACAATCTATCATAAAAACTCTGTGTGAATATGTTCAACTAATGTTTCTTTTTCTTTTTTTTGTAGTTTATTTATAGACTGCAAACTTACGTCAAATCACAATAATCAATTGTAAATTTAGAAGATGTGTCTTCCCTTCCTGAAGAATTACTTATAACAAACAAGTCGTGTGTGTTTCCAATTAAGTTAAGAGCTCCACAATGACCAGTTGTTGGCTTATATGTTCATGGCATTAAGTAAGGCTCCACTATTTGGACATAGCATGATAGGAGAATTATTGTTAGCATTGCACACTGGTAGACTTAATTTTTTTTTTTTTTTTTTTTTCCAATGGCAGGCACTGAACATTATTCTTAGCCTATACTATGCCAGAATTGTTGCTCATTTCGCGTTACCCAGTGGGCACCTGTGAACCAAAGTCACGGAGGCGAGCAACATTGCCCACGCCACACTGCCACAACCCGTTTATAGGGTGGGCCACATTCACACATCATACACACACACAACAGAGGACAGCACAAAGAGAGAGAGAGAAACATCCATGCCCAGAGCGGGATTCGAACCCGCAGCCTATGGCTTCACAGTCAGGCACTTAATAAAACTGTACATTTCCAATTTTCAATGGAAATTTATTATTACTAAACAACAAATTTTATAGTGCAATAAAAATATTTTTATTTTAAAGAAGTATATTATTTATAACTAATGGATATGGCAGCTAAAAATATGTGCTATCAACATAAAAGACATTGTTGGGTTGATTTATAAACACAAATAGGAAAAAGTTTCAGTATTTATCGCAAATGTGAAAAAGTCTTATGTGACAGAAAAGTGTAAAACATGCAATTGTTATTTATGCTTAATAAAACTAACCACAATATATTTTATGAAACTAAGTAAATATATGTAGTTCTTTCTGAATATCTAAGAATTTCATTATAGTAATATTATTTCCTTTATACTTACCATCTGCTGTGCCATGTATTAAGAGTAATTTCTTATCTTTAATGTTTGCTGCTTTCTTTGTTACATCAGCTTTTTCATATCCTATGTAATTGTCTGTTGGCCATGGCATTTGCATATACCTTTCAGAAAAGACTGAATCTAGACATTTGTAGGAAAATTATTTTTAGAATAATCAGTGTTGATGGATTATGTTAATATAATATTAATCTGTGTTTTAGTAATTTACATCGTATCATGCAATTAAATTAATTTTTGTACTTTTATCAAGTAATAGTTGTATTCAAAAAAAGATTATAGCATAAAATTTGTACATTAAACCACAATATTATTGAAATCTAGTAATCTGATTCTAACACTACATTAAATGAATTTTATTATCATGATATAATCTTTGCAATGATAATTTTGAGCATAATAGTTTTCATGGAAATTTGAACAAAGATATTACAGTTAAATATTATGCTGTACAGCTAAAAATACTTTAATGTATCTGTTCTTTTTCCGTAAAATTTTGAATTCCCATTAATTTTGAAACACATCACTAGCTTTGGATTTACAATTTTATAATATAATTTACTTTAATAAAGTCAATGAAGAAAGTTAAAATGGCCCACAAAATTATTAATTACATACACGAATAACAGTCAATGAATTGGAGAGCTTATTGGAAGACTGTGGCATGAATTTAGGATTATAAAAGTAGTAATTCCTTCTGTTTAATAAATTTTTGTGAGAAGTATATAGATGAAATTACTATGATATCAAAAATATATTTTTTATTTAACTGAAATGGGGGTTCAAACCAATCAGAATTTATCCACCAAAACATTTAATTGTGATAATCATAAATTTGCATCAACTCTTTAATTTTTGTCGCTCAGCATTGTTTAATTATAAAAGCTTTAAATTTAATTAATTAAATAATCAAATTAACCTTTAACAGTCCAGAATTATTTAAAATTTTGTTAAATTATAATAATCAATTATAATATTAATTGTAATTTATATAATTAATTCTAATTCAGTTATTGTAAATATGACAACAATAGACATGATAAAAATAATGTTGCTTCAATATATGTGGCATTGGAACCAGTCAAAAAATTTCCATGCCACTTATATGGCTGCATTAGTCCTATAAAGGTCAATAGTTGATAATAATATTTTAAATTTTGAAGAAACTTTTTATTTTTGGAAGAAAATATTTGCTTAACCTTAAAAGAAATAAATTCTGTTAAAAGTTAAATTTTTATAAATATTTGTTTATATTTGCTTTATCATTAATTTCAAGATTAAATATAAATTATCAAAGATTATGTATCTTATTCAATTTTATGATATTAAAAATTTTGGTTTACCATAAATGGTTTCACTTACTTATAATTATAAATATATTTTAAACAAGACACTTTAAACAATTGAAGAGTTTATGAAATTATTTTCATAAATTTTATTACATAAATTTTATTACATGGAATTATTTAATGGCATTTAAATGAGTTCAATTTATATTGTTTTTTACGAACAAAAACTTTTTAAACAATTGAAACTTCTTAAATTGAAAACTACCATGTTTAAAAATTAATTAGGTCTTCTGATTCTCACAATATGATCATAGCATAGTACAAAAAACTGAAAAATTTAGTATTTTGTAAAGATCACTTGACAGTTTTTATACTAAATTCTTCAATTATGCGTTGTAATTTTCTATTTTTTAAAATTTATAGTATTGAAATACCTATAAAAGATAAAGCTTTAATTTCTGTTTGGTTGGGATGCTTGAATAAAAAACTGGATTTTTGTTAAAATATGGAATAACATAATTGATGCAGAAACAAAACTAATAAAATAAAGTTATAAAATAATATATAATGTTATAAAATAATAAATAATGTTATAAAATTTATGTGTGCATAAAAATTAGGCAACTTCTAATGATTTTTTCATCCAATTAAGTAGAAAATTTGACAATAAAATTAAATGTAGATAAAGACTTGGAATATGTTACCTATTTTACTATATTCTTACTACAATTGATTAAATTATAATGCTAGGTAAGTAAGAGAAAATGCTTACTGTGTTATATTAGTTGTGATGAATAGTTGTTCGGGTAATGTAAATTTTTAACATTCTGTGTTACTATAAAAGATGAACTAATTTTATGCAGTTATTTAATTTAAATCATTACCTTATTATTAATTTTTATGTATAATGTTTTTAAAGACAAAACCTGTAATTAAAATCATTTTAATTAATTATGAATTTCTTTATCTTATTTTTTAATATTTATTTAAAAAAAAGGAGCAACATGACTAACCGTAATAAAGCCAACTAGTTACTGGAGCTACGGCAATTCCACAATTAAAAACTTGACTGTTTGTCGCCAAAGCCATAATCGTACTATAGCCTCCATAAGACCATCCCCAAATCGCTGTCCGATACCGATCAATAAAAGGAATTTCATTCTTAAGGTAGCTGAAAAAATATGCAAATAGTTTAAATAAATGTATTTGAATGAACAGAAATGTTAACAAATATTACAATGACATTTTGTTTCATATCATATCAGCTTTTATCTATGATCAGTTGATTTAATCATAATAAAAAGTTTGGTTACAGAAATAAGCTCATTGTCACATTTTATATTAGTTCCAGCTTCCATTTAAAAATGGTGTATTCAGTATTATTTTCTTCATGTCAACAAGAAGAAAGCTAAAGACAGTCTAAAAGAGTATCTTAAGACAGTGGAACATTTGGAAAGTATAGCTGCTAAATTAAGTGCCTTTGTGCTTATGAAATTCTTTCAAATAAATACATTTTAATCCGTATTTGTGCTTGGGAGGAATCAAAATTCACATTAGAGCATTGAGATTAGAGAGATTTTGCATTGAGTTTGTCTTACGCAAACCTTATTTTCTACCCTTTAGAGATACTGTGATTTGTAAGGAAACTTTCACTCATACGCTGTGAAGCTCAAATTGCTTTAGCGTTAGAGAGGAATAAAATGCTTTGCAAAATCTCTCAATTGAGTAAAACATAAGTTTTACCAAGGTTTCGATGGACAGGAATTACAGAAAGAAATTAATATAATAGAACAATAATAACACAGCTACAGATGCACATCTGCAGTCAACATTTTGATCATTTACTGTAAAACTTATTGTACAGGATTGTATTATTTGTAACAGACTGACTTATTACATTATAACAGAAGTATAAGTTCAGTGTGAAATCAACTGAAAGGTTATACTGCTAAGCATATACTGTCAAACCTCGATATCTCGAACTTGAAGGGAGAAGAGAAAAAATTTGAGATACCGAAAATTCGAATTATCGAAAATTACATGTTATCGCGATGGTAGAATAAAGAAAAATGCTCTTTACATAGCTGATTTACTATTCCATATTTATTCTAAAAACACTTTTTACACTTAAAAAGATTCAATTGTTGTTTGCTTTAGCGATGTGTAAAAAAGTTTGTCAATAACACTTTCGAAGTGGACTATAGCTTTAAATGCCTCCTCTGACATATTCGGCCGCCTCTCAATAAAATCTCCTTACAGTGTCCACTGAAGAAAGTGCTTGTTTGAGAATTGGTTATGATTATGAGAATTAGTTTTCTATTCTTGAAATTTTTTTTTAATATTTTTTTATTTTCAGGAAAAAAATCTACACTATTTATGGAGAAAAAAAAATTCGAGAAATCAAGTTTTTTTTTTAACGTTGAGTGTATAGGAAATTTGAAGGGAATTATTTTTTTCTTCGAGATATCGAAAAATTCGTGAAATTGAGGTTCGAGGTAGCGAGGTTCAACTGTATATTCGTTAGCCACAAAGTTTTTTTTAAATATAGACTAAAATATAAATTGTATGTAAGGTGCATCTATAAGCTGCATTAAGTTAAAAATACAAACCTGGCAACAGCTAATTGATCTTCTATTTCCATACTTCCAAGTCTTCTGTAAATTTCATGTAAGCGTTTATCACCTTGATTTCCACTTCCTCTTCCATCTATCCAAGAATAGACGAAATTTTTACGGCTAGCCAGATAACTACCCCAGTGTACATAAAATTTGTCAGTGACCATTTGGCTCCCTGGACCTCCAAATCTGCAATGAGTAAAATAAAATTTAAAATTAAAGGTTCAAGAATATTTGTTTGTATTTGGGGTGACGGTTAATGCCAGAACTGTTCGATTCTTCGACTCAGACTTATAAACTATTAAAATTTCCATTAAATTCTCGGTAAATATTGTAATTATCACTAAAATATTTCAAGTTGTAGTAGTTCATTTACGTCGCACTAGAGCTGCACAATGGACTATTGGCGATGGTCTGGGAAACATCCCTGAGGATGATCTGAAGACATGCCCTCATAGTTTTGATCCTCTGCAGAGGGGATGGCACCCCGCTTCGGTAGCACGACGACCTGCGCTCGATAGAACAGTTTAACGAGGACCAATACCGCACACACTCGGTCCCTACGCTGACTAATCCAAGTGGTCACCCACCCGCACACTGACCGCAGCCAGTGATGCTTGACTTCGGTGATCTGCTGGGAGCCGTGTCTTAACGATCAGTTCACTGCAGGTTCTAAAATATTTCAAATCACTGTAAGAAACGAAGGTATTTTATTTAAAATTATATTTCATATTACAGCATAACTATTGAAGATATAAATTTTATAAAATATATTTGATCAAGATAATGAATTTGACCAAAACTATTATGAGGAAAAGAGTTATTATTGTTACATATTAATATTAGAAATTTTTTGAATATCTTATTACAAAAATATTCTTTGGGGAACATTCTCGAACTAGATAACTTTTACAAATGAGCTAAATAAATTAAGTTTTGGCATTTGAGTACTTTTTCAACAGTTCTATCATTTGAAGACTGAAAAACTTTCAAATGTGATTAATTTGTGATAAATTATATTTTAAATAATTGTTATAATATTCATGCTAGAAATATTTTTGTTTACTTACTAAATATAAATGAAATAAAACATACATCCAGACAATGGGCATATAAGGGGCTATGTCGATGAAACTGATGTTAAGAGGTGGCTGCTATTCGAAGTTATAAACGAATTGGCTCAAAAAATACAATCAGACAACAAAATTGCGTAAGCACAAACAAAGTGGCTGAAATACTTTTTTTTAATTAAATGTTATTGTTTTGCTTTTTTCCACAGTCATTTAGTAAAAATAACTTTCGCGTGCTTGTTCATTTTCTTACTGTTCTCAATAACTTTAACTTTATCCTTCAGTCTAAGAAAATTTTGCTTGCTATAGTTCGATTATTCATTTTCTAAAGTTCTTATTCAGATATTCACCGTTCCAACATCTAAAGCATTAAGAAGAAAAAATGTTGCTCAAAAAACTTTGGGCAGGCGCATATACGCATTATTTCTTTCGCACGAGTGCTAGTAGACTTCAGTGATTCTTTTCGACGACAGTTGAGAGAAAAAAAGATGCAGTTTATCTGTAGTGGACAAAACTGACTGCCAAATAATCTATGATTAACTATTGTATGAATGCTTAAAAACTGTTAACAATTATGATTAGAATACGATGACTGATGGGGGAAAATATGTCTAGTAATGATCAGTTAAAATTATTGCCAACAAAGAGGAGAAATTGGAAAAAGTTACCTAAGATATATCCTGATACAAAATTTATGAGTAGTTCAGAGGTTCGACTCATAAATTTTGTCGTTGTTCAGAGGTTCTCCAAAGAACACGTTTGGTACCATGAAAAATATGGTCGTTATTCGGAGATTAGAGGCGGTCGTCAACGGAGGTTTTACTCTATATATCGGAATAATTTCAATAGATCAAAACTTCTTTTTTAACCAATACCAATAGAATCTAACTTCTAACCAATTGGATAAGGTAAGCAAATTTTTTTGATCTGCAAAATTTTCTTCTAACTTCACTGCCCCGGGTCATGTATAGTATACATATATATTGTGTGTGTATATATATCTATATATATATATATATATTGTAACGGCACTTTCTTATTAACCTAGCCGAAATTCGTTTAAAATTCATTAGCTTTATTTAATTCAAATTTTAAAAAAAAATATACATACATATAGTTTGAACCCAAGAAGTTGAAGCAGTAAGAAAGGCTATTCTGAGGGTTGATATCATAATCAAGAGAATCTGCTGTTATATGAATGAAACAAAATTCCAGAGCATATCTATGTGAGTTGATGCAACAGTATTGTAGGTCGAAAGAATTATGACATTATCATCATTATTAGTTTCAATGTTTTAAAAATGCGTGTTTTGTTTAGAGCTATAATAACACTCATTAGTTTAAAAAATAAATAAATTAGGGGATGTTGAGTTGCAATATTGTTAATATAATTTTGAATAAAATTATAAAGCTCTACAGATTAAATATTATAATACCATTTAAAAAATTTTAAACAAATTGTTTTAAACTTGCCCATTCAGTCTGGAAAAAATCATGGTTATTTCATTCATTTTACCTTGGAAATAGTAGAAAGGTTTAATATTCTTGGATCATTTAGAAGCAATACAAGTCATCGTTTTATTAAAAAAATATTTCGTCTCTCTGCATAAAGTTAAAATTTCAAAATAAAAAGAACTGCAATTAAAGCTAAAAAAGTTGCTGTTGCTAATCCTAACTGGTTAATATTAAGCAAGACCAAGTGTCTATATATAATTACTATAAATTGACAAAAAGTTTAAAACAAGAAAGGAATTTTGAAATAAATCATCATTTGTAAGTCTAGAGCTAGAAAGATGTTACATTTCCTACAATTGAGAATATTTTCCGGATCAAATTTAGGACATTTCAGATGTCTACTTGAAAAGTTTTAAATTTGACCAGGGGAATAAAATTCTTCCCTATTGTGTTTCAAAACTAAACATAAAAACAAGATTGGGTTTATATATATATAAATCATACTTTTAATGCACTTCTAAGAATTGAAGAGCTTAGAGGAAGTATAATTTTTCTAAAATCCTTAAGTTAAATGCCTCTTAAGATGATTATGCTCCGGAAAAAATCCGGATTTTTCGCTAATTACGACCCGGAAGTTTCCGGATATCCAAGGTCCAGAAGTTTCAAGAAATCATCGATCACATTTATGTATAAAAATTCTTCCATATTTTATATAAAAATATTAGAACTATAAAATATTACTATTACTGCGCATCTCTTTCATTTGTAAATATTTTTTTCTGGTAGAATAATAAATGTGATTAGAGACAAAAGTACACTTATAAATAATTATTCATTTAAATTATGCTGCATATAATTTATTGAGAATTTCATGGTTTGAAAATATCAATGATTTAAATTTATAAAGACATAAATTTTTTGAAAAGCTTCATTAATGATTTTACTCAAGAAATTTTCAGGATTTTTGAGTATGGCTCACAATCACCCCTGAACGTATGAAAATTGAAAATTCTCAATTTTCTAATTTTCTTGAATTAGTATTATGATTGATTATAAGTGCTTACCATTAATTTATTTCACCAAATCCTTAAGTCGCAGTTTAATAATAATATTAAAAAAAATTATTAAAATACTTAATTTTCCGCGATTATGGTTATGTTATGATTGATTTTGAGCTTTTAAAATTAAATTATTCTGCCTGCCAAGTTTCGAAATAGAACAGTTTTTAATAAAAGAACTATATGTTTTTATTTATGTTGATGCTTCTAGACATTCTAAAGCTTCAATTTTCTGAACACATGGAATGACACATAGAAAAATTAAATTTTTTTTGGGGGGATTAAGAATATGTTATGATCAATTTAAAATACTAAACATTAATTTATTCTGCCTAAACGTGAATAAATTTCATTTTAACAAAAAAATTATATTTTTTTAATTATATTTTTTAGATGTTACTATGCAATTTAAGCTAAATGTCTCTTAACATATTAAGTGAAAATTTGAAAACACTTAATATTCCAAGATTAAGATCATGTTATGATTGATTTTAAGAACTTAACATTGATTTATTCTATGAAGTTTTAAAATGCATCGCTTAATTAAAAAAAAAAACTATGTTTTTTAGTTACCTTCGTGTTACTATGCATTCTAAACTAAATGTCTCTTTACATATAAAGTGACTCATAGGAAGCATTCAATATTCCAAGATTAAGATCATGTTATGATCAATTACATTGATTAACATTGATTTATTCTGTCAATTCTTGAAATGAATAGATATTCAATTGAAAGAAAAACTATGTTTTTTGCTGGCTTTTTTACGTTGGATTTTCATAAGCTAACATATCATTCAAAATATTTTTCCACAATTCTGAAAATTTCACTAAATAAATATGAACGAAATAAAATGCTTACACGTTAATAACCATAGGATATTTTATCATTTCTTCATCTCTGAGTCCAGGCGGCAATAAAAGACGTACGTTTGCATCTGAAAAAGTTAAATACATTAAAAATGTTAAACATACTCGAACGGCATTGATATTTCAGAATTTAATTTGCAAGCATCAGTTTGAAATCACCAGAACGAAAGTTTTAATCAAATTTAAATCTTGCGTTGAACATTGTCACTGAAATGAAATTTTAATTAATGTTGCTCTACAGCATTTCTGAATAACGATGTTATTATAAAGCGTTGATCCTTGAAAGTTTATTTTATGTTGTTGGACAAACATTATTTTAAGTTCCAAAATTAAGCGTGAAGGGAAATTTAATTATTGAATTTCAATATATTAAGGAAAGTATTTTAAATATGGTGCTTTTCAAAATGAGCACATATGTTAAGTATTTTGTGATAGAGCGTCCGCCTTCCAATGAGGTGAACCGAGTTCAAGTCCCAGCGATGGCTGGTCGATACGAATTCCGCACTCGGCTCGCATCGACCACAGTACTGACGTAAAATATCCTCAGTGGTAGACAGATCATGCGTTAGAAGCCCCTTGCCATCAGGTTAACCGCGAGAGGTTTTCGTGGTTTTCCTCACAATGTAACGCATGTGCTGGTTAGTACCATCAAAAAGTCCTCCACAAAGGCAAATTTCTCCCAATATTTGATCCAGGAGTTCCTTTAATTTCTGGATTGGGTTCAAAATTACAAGGCTACGGAGTTGAACATAGGGGTCGTAAGCCGAAAAAAATGAGTCGGCTCTGTATAATAAAACTCGACTGTTGTATAATAAAATAAAAAAGTATTCGATGATTAATATCACATCGCATCTACATCTATTAGAATTCTCTCGTTATAATGTTTGGCAAAAAAAAAAATAGCTTCCTTCCTTAAGAAATTGAATTTTTACTTCATTATGATACACATCAAGCAGAAATCAATAATTTCGTTGAATTGATTTTTGAGTTTGGAACATTATTGAAACTAAAATCGTTTTAAAAATAATTTGAAATTTATTATTGTTGGTGATTAACATTGATTCTTGTATATGTCTTGCACATATTTTAATAGTCAGCATTAAAATTGAATATATATTTACTCCTGTGGGAATTTTATAAGTCATTATTATATTAAAAAAACATTAAGAGGTTAATTGGACAATTGACTGTGTAGTTCAATATGATACACATAAAGCAAAAATCAATCATTTCGTTGTGACTGATTTTTCTATGTGTGACATTCTTGAAATTGTTTTGAATATAATATAAAATTGATCATCGTTGGCGCTTAACTTTGATTCTTGTATATGTCTTGCATATGTATTAATAGTCAACAACAAGATCAGATTAAAATTTATACGTGTGGGGATCTTATAGTCATCCCTCAACTAAAAAATACATCACAAGTAAGCTGGACAATTTTAAATAACTGAATTTTTTTACTGCCACGTGTAAACGTTTTAGGCTTAAGACATCTCAAATATGAATTATGGTTTAAAGACTAACTTTGTTAATTACAAGTAGTTAATACAAAAATCTTTAAAAATAACCTTTCATCTGAAGATTGTTTTTCATAATGATTCTGACTTAGTGACCATGAAATCAATATTAATTTATCTACTGAGAAATTTCAAAAGGGTATATCTTTAGAAATAGATCTAACAGTAACAAACGGGACACTTCTCTTGGAAATAAAAAAGTAGTATAATACCATTAAATTAAAAATAAAAAAAATCAGTGATTTTTTCTAGATTCATTATAAAATAACTTTTTTAAAATATATAAGTTATATAGTTTGAAGTTATTTTACATATTGGAAATGGGTAAAATATAAAAAAGAAATTTGATTTTGTAGATTTGCACAGCCGAATTTCTGGGAGAAGAAAATTTATAGAAAATAAAACATTTTGCAAATTCTTATGATATTGTTCATAAAAACTTTCAATCGCAAGTATTTTTGGAAAAAAAAACATCTAAGCCAATTTTATAATAAAAAATATTTTTTGTCAGAGATCAAAAATGCCTTAAATATGAAATCCACCCTATCAAGAAGTATTGACAAAGCAACCATATTTACCTTAACAACTGGTGAAATGTAAGTTAAACATAATTTCATAATCGATGTAATATTAATTTATTTCTAAATATTTTGAGCTACAAGTACGTAATTCCCTTAGAATCAAGGTGTAGTTTTAACCCTTTGACACAAATGGGACACCAGTGTCCCCTTTATACATATATTTTTTTCTGACATTTTAATTACAAGTAAAAATATATTTTGGTATTTTTTTAATTATAAAAATCATTATAATAGTTACGAAGGTTAGGTTACTGGAATTATATTCGTACTAAAATATAAAATCCAGCAAATGTAGCTTGAATTTTTTTTTCATTCATATTTAAAGAGATTTCAATTATCAAAGAGATTTCAATTATGAATTGAATAACTGTTTTTCTTAGATATAAATAACTGCAAATGTGAAAAATTATTGTTTGGGAGATATTACCTTTAACGCAGAAAAAGACTCAGGTGTTTCATACTGTATTTCATAACCATACATTATTGAAATGTTAAATATAATAATTTTCACTTATTTTTTATTTAAATTACAAAATAATGAAAAATATGTTTAATAAAAATTCTGCTTCAAAGGGTTTGCTTCGAAAGAAAGTTGTACTGCTGATAACAACGACCAGTCCCAGGAACTGAACTTAGATGAGAAATTAAACTTCATAGATTAAATTTCTATATGGGAAAAAAAATATTAGCACTTAAACCCATCCTTAAAATTTTATCACAACGTTTCGGTATTCTTTTGAACTATCATAAATTTAATTTTATGTTTGCATAGACATAATTCATGAATAAAAACGCAGCCTTCTTCATTAATATTTTGTTTGCAGCTTAACTACCATGAAAATGAAAGCACGGTAACATTTTTTCTAAGTTTCAGATTCTACCTTTCTCGCCAATGTTATTTGCAGCTGAGACATGCACTTATCAACCATCTTTCACAAAAATGATGGATTGTAAAGAAGAAGGTAGACTTTTCTTATTTCAAACTAAAAGTATAGTTTGATGGGCTGAAAAATGTTTCAAATCTTTCAAGTGTCAGAAGACACTCTTGAGGGGTACTGAAGCGTTCTAGTTTGTTGAGCTCTCCTAAGCCACGAGCGTAACTAGAAAGAATTGGTTTTCGATAACAAGGTTGCTCTTCCTCTCTCGCCAAAGGCTGGGAAATTTTGCCAAATCCAAGGCTTAGTGTTAAGAAGTCACTTTCTATTTTTTATTAAAAAAACAGTGCAATAGTGATGAAAGACGGTTTAATATTATTTTTTAAGCAAATAAAATAGAGTTTAGCTATGATATATGTTCAAATGATAAAAAAAAACTAATAAATAGTTATATTACTTTTAAAAAAGCGTTTGCGAAACTTACAAATAATTGTTGCTTGGAAATTTTCGTGTCTCAACATGCTTTACTTTTGTTAAAATAATGATAAATGAGATAGAGAATAAAAGGTCTTGAGCGAGTGAGACCCGATTACCGCATCAATTTCAGAAACTTTTTCTATATTTTAATTCAAAATTTTTTTTAATGGCGGGCACTTAGGGATTGTCCCATTGGCCACAGAAATTCCAGAACTGCTACTCTCTTCTCGTTACCCAGTGGGCACCTGTGGCGAAGCCACGGCGGTGGAGCAGCGTCGCCCACGTCACGTAACCACAAACCCGTTTATAGGGCGGATCACATTTACACAATCACACGCAAAGGAGAAAGGACATAGAACAGAGAGAGAGAGAGAAAGAAACATCCATGCCCTGAGCAGGATTCGAACCCGAAACCATCGGCTTAGAAGTCAGACACGCTAACTACTCGGCCACCTGACCGGCTAATTCAAAAATTGCTGGATAAGAAAAGACATACTGAACATTTTGTTGGTACCATTAGTTGACGCTATAGCATTATATATATACATATATAAGCTTCGAGCCACTAGCCCGACAGTATCTTGGTTCTAAATCATGAACATTCTACTCTTAAAAACGTTTGATGTCCTGCTGCAATTAGTAATTGTTTGGAGAGCAGATCAGTCAGATATAGCCAAAAATCGAAACCTATATCACCCGGAGTGAAAGTAAATTCGTCATGTCCTGTGCCTTTTTTCTTTCATAAAATTCCTTTATTTTTATGAATAGTCCATTAAAATAGTAGATTTGAAGCAATAAATGTTCACCCCCGTGCACTTTTTATTTTAAACTTATCTCAGAAAACATAGAAACTCTTGAGTAAATATCAGAGAAAACTCGCTGTCGTAAACGACATTTGGAATGTAACTCGTTTACATAAAGAGGAAATCTACAAAAAGTTTTCCTGATTAGCTCGATTCTAGTAAGATGCAAGCTCATGATCTGTCTGCCATTAGAAATAATTCATTTCAGTACTGTTCATAAGTAATTAATTGGTTTTATAAACTACATTACTTACTGTATCCACCTTCTATAGGCACATTAAATGTTCTGAGCTGTGGCATGGCCGTACTTTCAATTTTGCACCTGACGTTGTCGTTGCTGTCCAAGAGATCCACTAAATCAAAAATAAAATTATATATTAATGTGCATGAGCAAAATATACCATAACTACCGTTGCTCATTTTTAGCGCTTTAGTTGAAAACAAAATCTAACCTATGACTGATAGTACCTTTAATTTATTTCACTTTTATTATATCAACATCTTAAAAGGATGTTACAAAAAAGAAATTCAAAGGACTATTTATTTACTAGCAAATATCGGGGTAAACATGGACTATATTACCCACTACACTTAACAAGTTTTGGTAGATACTACAAATGTCTGATGTATTCTCTCTCGGTTACTTGGCAGATATCTCAGTTCCGTTAAATCCGACAAGATTCTATCTATGTGCGCCTAGATATTTATCCTTGTTCTTGGCTTCTATTCTTTAATCCGTCATGTGTGCAATGTCTGTCAGAGCAGCAGTATAATGTGCTCATGCACTGTTGTTGGCATTGATGATGCATAAGCTTTGTCTTTTACAAGTCCATGCTACACTAATTCAAACAACACAGCTGGAATGCTTTGCTACTGCTGTGACAGACATTTAGGGAAACATACTATTGAATGGCATGCTATGGACAGAACAAAGATCTATGCCTTCTGTTGTTTTATGACACATTAGTGGACATTTGGAATGCAAGGTTTTCCTTATTTGAAGTGCAAGTTCTTCTGATCACATCCTTGTTTATATGAATCTAGAACTTAAAGACTGATCCTTGAATTTGGTGCTTGATTTTACCAGGGTTCTGTCAATCCTTCATGATCTAGCTAGTGCTGGATCATGAAGAATTGACAACAGCAACAGCAGAAATGAGATGCATATCGGGTGAGCAAGGGGACACACCTTGAACATTTGTCGTATGCTCTTGAAACTTTATGAATGTGAAACTTTATGAAACTTTCCATGTATCCAGCATCTTTATACATCGCATACGTGTAAATTAATAGATATTTGAAACTGGATGAATCAGTTATGCTAACCTAGTGTAATAAAAAACTAAATTTAAGTTAGGAGAAAAATAATTTTAAACATATTTCTTACACCGCGTGTGATTGAGTGTAGATCTCAAATCAATCCAAGGCACACCAGGACCTAGGCACTCTAGAATGTAGTAATTTGCAGTAGGACTGAAAATTGCATTGAAATAAGAACACTCTTCATCCAGATTGCAGGTGAGGCACTCTTCGGTTCTTGGCATACCAGACTCCATATCAGTGACTGAGAACAGATGCCTCTGGCTTGGGCTCTCTGGTAAAGTTGTTAAGTAATATCTGAAAAAAAAAAATACGTATGTGCTTTGATTATCTCTTTTTTTTCCTTTTCAATTGCTCAAAATCATATAAATTCATTAAAAATAAATGTGGATAACTTAAGGTGATAAGACGTCTGTAAATCTTGAGGACAGTTCTCGAACTTCATTTATTGTCCTCAACAGCATTCAAGCTCTTTGAGGACAGAAAATGTCTCCAAATTTTAACACACGCTCTCAAATGTGCTTGAATTTTTTTCAAAAACATTTAATAATTTTTCATTGAGAAATATAAAAATTCGAAATGCGCATGTTTTTTATTTATTTTAAACCAGATAGTTCTGCTCTATAGTGAATTTAAACGAAAAGCTCAATGGTAAAATAAACAGATGAAAACGGGAAAAAGAATAATTTTGCAAAAAATAAACAAATTCTAATTTAACAGAGGTATTTCAAAACTGCTTAGCAATAAAATTAGGTTTGAAGAAGAAGGTCTTCACCTGATATTACTTGTCAACTAAAAAAATCTTTGTTATATGTATACAGGGTGTCCCAAAAGGACCGCATAAACTCTGCACAGCTAGATTCCTCGTTGGGAGTACCTAAAAACTGCCCAAAGAAGCGTTCCTGTACAATCCATAGTTTACGAGAAAAATAAGAAAAACAAAGTATGACGTCACTGCCGGTGCAAGAGAAAACACTTTATTGAACATATTAACAGCAGTATACTATGCACAATTTAAAGCAGAATATGTGCGGAGAACGTTTTAAACATTATCGTCCAGAAAGATATACAAATACTGTTGTTGATATGTCCAATAAACTGTTTTTTCTTTTTTGCACCGGCAGTGACGTCATACTTTGTTTTTCGTATTTTTCTCGTAAACTATGGATCGTACAGGGACACTTCTTTGGGCAGTTTTTATGTACTCCTAACGAGGAATCTAGCTGTGCAGAGTTTCTGCTGTCGTTTAGGGACACCCTGTATATTAATATTTTCCATAAATGCATGGTGTTCTCAAACCGTAAAATTTTTCGTGGAAGGCTCCACTGATTTGCCCTCAAATCATGATTTATAAATCTGGTCACCTTAGTGTAACTTTTTACTATTTTTTCCTTTTTTTTAATGACTTAGAAAACGAATATCAAATTTAGATAAAAATTATCCAGTTTTCGAAGTTTTTATATAGTGGATAGAAATATTTTTCACATTCACTTCTAAAACATAAATACAAATTTCAGAGAAAAAATTATTTTTACAAAGAACTAAGAGAAAACCAATGTCAGGATCATTACTGAAGATCTTTTTACAAGCGGCTTCTGTGGATTAATTGGGTACTTACAACTCGAGAAGAAGTTAAGTGAATTATGTCTAACTATATGATTTAAATCTGATTTAATTGGATACCTATAAGAGACGTCACGCGTGTGTGCCGGACTTGATTGGTTTCTGAATCGATAAATGCCACGAATTACCTTTAATGACGTCACTTGCAGGCATCCGATTCTTCGCTCGAGACTTACAACTCGAGAAGAAGTTAAGTGAATTATGTCTAACTATATGATTTAAATCTGATTTAATTGGATATCTAAAAGAGACGTCACGAGTGTGCGTCGAACTTGATTGGCTTCTGAATCGATAAATTCCACGAATCACCTTTAATGACGTCACCTGCAGGCATCCGATTCTTCGCATCCGCTTTAAAGATATGTATGCGGTGAGAAATATGAATTTCAAAATTTTTTGTTTGAAAATTAATTTTAGTAAAACGATGGAAGGACCATCATTGAATGGCTTTTTACACTGAGCTTCTGTAGAGCCTCGATGGTTCAAGGGATAGAGAGTTCGAATCCCAGTGGTGGCCGGTGATCACGAATTCCGCACCCGGCTTGCACCGACCGTAGTGCTGACGTGAAATATCTTCAGTTATATACGGATCATGGGTTAGAGTCCCCTTGCCATCAGGCTAACCGTGGAAAGTTCTCGTGGTCTTTCTCTGCATGTAACACAAATGCGGGTTAGTTTCATCCAAAAAAGTCCATCACGAAGGCAAATTTCCCCCAATACTTGATCCATGAGTTCTGGATTGGGTTCAAAGTTACAAGGCTATGGAGTTTAACATTGGTAGCCGTAAACTCAAAAAATTGGGATAGCTTTTCAACAACGGCTATAAAATAAAATTCATTTACATTCGTCCTTCTCCAAGTATTTTTAGTGCGCTGAGGGTTCCAATCAAAACACAATAAAATAATAACTTTTGGCAAAATTAGCAATAAAGTGCAGTTTTATTACCAAGCTGTTTGGTAGTAAATTTAAAATTTGGTAATTTTATTATTGTATATTTGTGCATGGCATAAAAATCGATTAAATTTACTTTTCAATTTTGTAATTTTTTAAATGTATGGTATAAGAACTGTAATTCTCAAAATTCACGGTAAACTGTTACCATACGAACTAAAAATACCGTATGTTTATTTTTAATCAGAAATATCATTACCGTATAAATACGGTAATTTTAAAAATAATTTTTTTTATGCTCGTCTACGAAATTTTCGTGTTGGGCATACAAATATTACGATTGAGTAATTTTAATTTTGAATAAGTAAGCGTAAAATTGCATTTTTTCCCAACAAAATTAGACTTACACATCCTTGCTATAAAAAACGGTAAATATCTTACACAGTGTTATTTTCTCGGTTGTGAGCAAGAATCTCAATGACGTCAAATTGGCCATGAGTCAGAAACGTTTTCTTCCCAATCTGAAAAAAAAAAAAACATTGCAAAATTATATGTGACATTAGTAACAGCGTAATTTGATTAATTAATTAATATTTTGATTAAATTTTTCATTCCACTTACCATAAAGGTAAACTGTACTAGAAAAATAACACTTATAGTTTTTTCCCAAATTATAAATTTTATAAATTTGGATAATTTCATATAATTTTATAAATTCCACGGAAAAAAAATAGCATTACGTTCTCACAAAATTATCCTGCTGGTTCCGTTTTATTACATACTTGATATCCGCAACTATACGAATTTTAGAATAGCCTTTTCAGAAGAAAGATGTTACGGTTACTATGTTGCCGAAGGAAAAGTAACGAAGAAGTATAGTTCCTTTCTTGAAATTTATAACAAACTACCGAAAAAAAAAGGAAACCATAAAACAAACACCATCAAATGGTGACATCACTATAGAGTAAACTACTTAAGATTGTAAAGCACGTAGGAAATGGTACATAGATAAAACTTTATGTTGGATACTTTATTTTGATGGCAAATCAAATTTTCGATATATATGAGGCTCATTTTTATTTTTTTAAAGTAAACTTATAGGACATATTGGACAAAGGATGAAAACAAACTAGTAAGAATAAATTTTGATTTTTTTTCTACTAGCATTTTGATTTCTTTTTCTCCTTTTATATATATATAATGTGTTTGTTTATGACAACCAGGAAGCTCCGCCCCTATTCGCTTCTCTCCCATGGTTGCTGCCCATACATCATTGAATATCATGGGGAAAGAACGGTTTATGTCGATTTCTTTAGCAAAGAAATTGAATCTCCATCTGTTGTATCTTGAGAATTATTAAGTTTTAACAAATCCCGAGAGTTATTACACAGTGAAGATGGGCCGCCCTAGGGAAAAAGAGTTATAATTCGAGAGCAACTTCGTTTGTTTCTCAGAATCAGTTTTCATGGACATAAGCCGTTCTTTCTCCTATTATCTCCTTGAAAGTTTTTATTTCATTTAAAAGTCGATAAAAAAAGACAAATTGTTTATAAAATATATGATCCTTATAATTTTATGTAGGCACATTTTATTAATATGTTAATCGTAAGGAAATAAAAAGATACGTAGATTTGAAAACAAATAATCAATTGTACACAAAAAAATAAATAAATTTAGGAATACAGAATTCGCAATACAGTAAGAAGTAGTGATTGGTAAATTATTAAAATTAACTGTGTTTAAAAAAACACCGTGTTAAGTTTGCTGACAAATGTGGCTCTTTCAGATTGCTAAATTTCAACTATGCAATCCAATAACTGTCCAACTACTTTCAAAATTATTTCATCGATATAAAATAACTTTATTTGCCCAACATGTGGATGTTTACATTTTATACAGAGTGTCTCCGGATTATTGGGAGTAACTTTAAGAGTAAGTATAATCATAAGGATTCAGATTTGCATCGCAACCCATGGTCAGAAAGGACTTCTTCACCGATAGGTAGTGTTGTTAATAAGAGCAGAGCATTGTAAAAGGCATCCACAAGCGAGAAGTATTGCGAAAGGCACCTACAGAGAAATGCATCGGACAGCCAAGGCCACCACGTTCTCCTGATTTACGCGCAAGAAATATTTTTCTTTCGGGTGCACTGTAGCGGGCTGTCCTGCTGCGGATATCTAATGTTAATTATTATTAATGTTGGAAACTTTGAATATCTTTTGTGGTCTCTCACCTACCATAGCACATGTAATATCTCTGACAGAAACATATTTCAGCTGATCTCAATCTTGTGTGTCTTTGTTCCTCGTACCTGTTATTCTACTTTCCCGTCACGTTTCCGAACAGGGGTTGTTATGCAATACTGAATCCATGTGATATCCACTATCTCCCCTTAAAGTTTATCTCAATAAACCTGGTACATTCTGCATAATACAATAAATGATTAGAATTATGATTTTAAAATCTGCTGTTTAACAAACTTAATCTGCCTTAGAACAGAAGCAAACGCCTTCTCTTTTTTGATATATAGAACGTTAAAAGACGAATCACCCTGAATAACTTTTGATATAATGATCGGATTTGCCAGTACTGGAAAACAATCTTAATGGTTTGAGAGGGCGACCTCGAATGTTTTATATAGTTAGTGCAAATGATATTTTAGCTTAAAAGCGTAGTGGGTAACCGTAATTTATTAAATATGGTCCTAATACTATCAGGGCCGGGTTAACCTATAGGCACACTAGGCATGTGCCTAGGGCCTACGAAAAACTTGGGAGAAAAAAATTTGTTGACAAAAATAATTTAGCTTTAAAAACAACAAGTGTATTTTGCACAAAATTATGAAGATACAAATAAAAATATAATATTTGTCGGTAATAAATTATTTTGCAGAATCTTATGATCTAATATATTACTTTTTTGCGATTTTTGGATTCAACGAAATCTTGTATTATGCTGTCGAATTCCAAAATGACTCATTTGAAAAAACGTGATTAACATTTTATTAAAATAGTATTAAATCATTTTTTTTTCTATTAGTGAACATTTAACCTACCTTGCAAATTTGTTTATAAATAATTTCAAAAGATTTACTTTTGACAATGTTAATTTCCTTCACTTAGTTATCATAGTAGTATCATGAAAACTATGAAGCTATTTGTAGTATAAATATTTCTTGTAATTAATCTCACTATCAATTTCACTGTTTTCTTTGCTGGTTTGTTGTTGTATTGTTGACGTGAAGTGTTTACATAGTTATCGATCGAACTAATCATAATGGTATTATCGATATCAAATGCAATATTGGAAGTATGTCGGTATTGCAGATAAAGTTCGATAAACAAATTTGTAAATTAAAATCCATATTAATAAAAATGTAAAAAAAAATATGCAAGAAAATTTTAGCATATATTTTGAAAAGAGGGGAGGAGTGGGGGAAGTAGGGGAGGACCCAAAAACGGCTATGCCTAGGGCCTACGAAAGGTATAATCGGGCTCTGAATACTATGGTCAGGAAGGCGGACGAATGTTAGGGTTCTTTATTGTTAATTTTACTTTTTACGAATTTCGTCATTGATCGGAAAATTTTTTCTACGAATTGAAAAAAAAAATTGCAGAAAATTATAAATTTCGTTTATCCGAAGGAAAATTCATGCAAAAAATAATTTCTAATAATTATTTATTCTTTTTCATTATTTTATTTAAATTTTATCGACTTTTAAAAACGTAATTAAAAATCCGATTTCTCGGGAACTATTTGACCTACTTTCGTCCAAATGTTAAATGTTCTATATTACCATGCAAAATTACATTCCTTAAAGTAATGTAAAAATTTGTATGTTTTGCAATTCGAAATTTTTTTTCGGCAAATAAAATAATAAATTATTAAAATTTTTTTTTCATGGAAGTATTTTATAATTGTGAGCAAATATTTTTTAATTCGATTAAAAAGATCTTTATCTATAGCGAAATTCGCAAAAAAAGTAAAATTAACATTAAGGAGTCCAAACTTTGGAGCACTCTATTGATCAAACAATTGGGACCATATTTCCCTGACTGCGGCTACCCCCTATGTTTTGGGGGTCAGAAATTTGAATCCATCGAAAAAAAGGTATGATTATTCTAAGAAAACGCGGTTTTGAGTCTGATATGTAACTTAAAGTATCGTCTGCACTATTTAATTATCATATTCGAGGTCACTCCCTCGAATTATTAATATTGAGTACTAAAATGTAATTGTCCGATTATTAGATCAAAAGTTATTCAGGTTGGTCGGTTTTTTTTAAATTTTTTTTTGCGAATTTCGATATGCTATTTTTTTTCTACATGCTCTAGACACTGGAATAATGAATGCTTGAATAAGAACTTTAGTAAATGAATTATCGAAGTATGAGTTATTATAGCAAGCAAAATTTCCTTGCAATGAAGGAAAATTAAAGTTATTGAGAATAGTAAGAAAAGGAATAAGCGCGCGAAAGTTAGCTCACCTGACCAAACTATTAGGTCTATTACTATTCATTAGACTGGTCAGGAATACTAATTCTTTGAAAAAAAGTATGTTTATTCAGATTAATGCCGTTTTTGTGTTTGATTTCGTAATTTAAAGCATCGTATGCAAAACTAATTAGCGTATTTGAAGTTACCCCCTCGAGCAATTAAAATTAAGTCTCAGCTTGTGAAAATCCGATCATTCGATTAAAAAGTTCTTCATGATTTTTTTCTTTTTTTTGCGCACTGTTTATCGTAACCAAAAGGCAAATGATTTATTCAATAATCTTTTTGATAATTTTTAATAGTAATTTTTACACCTATAAAATCTTTACCAACTGAAATAAAAAAAAACTTTTTTTTATCAGATTTGTAAAAAAATTGCAAATTCTGGTTGTCCTAAACGCAGCCTGTAATCTCTCGGTATGAATGTAATTTTTAAAAGATTGAATAAGTTTGTGTAAGGTTCCAAAATAATTACTTCTATGAATTTAAAATTAAAAAAAAATTATGTTCGAATCGTCAGGGAAGTTTTAAATCTTGATACAGTTTAAAATGCTTGTTTGCGAAAAAGGACTCAGCTCCAAATACATCTTTTCAGTTTTCAACCCAAATTGAACAACTGAACGAGGAATTGCGTGCTTGTTTTTCTTGCATATTTAACAAGCTGTACCCATTTTCTTAAATACATCAATTGAGTTGTGTCCATTTTCGCGAACACGCATTGTCCAGATTTAAAATATTATCAATGAAATACAAGAAAAGCTTTTTTTTTTAATTAAATAATGTTAGACAGACATATTGCATCACTTATTTTAACATTTTACCTTCTGTTATGATATTCAGTGGAATTTAATAAGTTGCTGTGTAGGATGTCGTTCCTTTTGGTTTTTTAAAAAAATAAGTTATTTGTTTTTCAATTATTACAATACGTAGTTTCGTATCACATTTTTAACTTTAAAATAAGTGCTAAGAAAAAACACTTGAAATAGATTTTTCTAAGTTCATTGTTTGTCTGATGTATCCTAGCAATTAAATACTTTAACAATTGATTTTCAGATTTAAACTTGCAGTAAATATCCTTCACTAATGAAAACTAATTTATCTAACTACTAATTTTACAAATTAAATATTAACGAAATTAATAATACAATGTTTTTAGCAAGTTAAATATTTGTATATATCTAGGTAAGGTAACTACAAGTTCACAAGTTATTAATTTACACGAAAAGGACTTCAAGGAATTAAGTTTAATGCGCTTCCTTAAGTAAACATTTGTTTTCGGAAGGTGCAATTATGTATTATTCTTAAACAAACAAAATATCAATTAATGCGTAATTAACATTTCAGGCACTGATAATATCTTTATTTTTTAATTGGAAGCACTAAAATTATATTTTACATATTTAATTGGGTACCTTTTAGATTAGAAAATAAATGAGACTGTAATGTCATACATTAAATTTATAATAAATTAAAATGTGAAATAATTATTCACATTTACAAGATATTTAAAAAAAAAGCTATTACGATTTTTAAACAAGCAAGAAATGAGGGTGGCAGTTACATTTTGTTTACTTCGTATGCAAGAATAAATGTAATAAGGTTATTTATATGCATGCTCATTTAAAATACCACTAACATAAATGCTTAAGTTATATTTTCTATAGTAAATTGGGAAACTTTTAGACTAGAAAATAATTCAGACTGTCGTTTCATAAATTAGTTAAATTTAAAATATATTAAGAAGTGAAATAATTATTCATAATTATTGAAAATACTGATAAATATTTTTCTTTTTTAAAAACGTCGTGAAATTTTTTAAAAGAATAAGAAATGAAGGTTGAAGTTATATTTTATTCCGTATACAGGAATAAATTTAATAAGGTTATTTAAATGCAAGTTCATTTAAAATAACACTAACAAAAATACTAAAATTATATTTTGTATATTTGGGGAACTTTTAGACTAGAAAATAAATGATACTATAGTATCCTAAATTTGTTTAGTTTAAAATCTATTAAAATGTGAAATAATTATTCATAATGACTGAAAATAATGACATATTTTTTCTTTTATAAAAAATCCATTACAATATTTTAAAAGAATAAAAAATGAGGGTAGAGGTTACATTTTAATTATTTCATATCCGAGAATAAATTTAATAAGATTATTTAAATTCAAGCTCATTTAAAATAGAACTAGAACTAACAAAAACACTAAAATTATATTTTATATGTTTAATGGGGAAACTTTTAAACTACAAATTAAATAAGACAGACTGTGTCATAAACTAGTTAAAATCTGTTAAAATATGAAATAATTATTCATAATGACTGAAAATATATATATATATATTATAAAAAAAAACAGTACAATTTTTAAAAGAATAATAATTAAGGGTTGCAGTTGCATTTTGCTTATTTGGCATGCAAGAAACATTTTAATAAGGTTATTTAAATGCAAGTTCATTTAAATATAATTTCAGTAAAATGTTAACAATATTTAACACAGCAAATTAAGGATTCCACCAAATTCCACTAAAGAAACTCACCAACGAAGCGTAAATTAAGATTTACACTTCATTTAAGCTGTAACGAGATAAAATTCTTCTTAATTCTCAAATTTTTTTCTCCTTAACATTTATTACTCACAGCTATGAAAAGATTTACACTCCGTTACACATTAAGTGTTTCCTCTTTGCATATAAGTTAAAATAGGCAATAATAAATTTATTCAGCGAAAAATTTAATTATTTTGTATCTATAAATTTGAGCTGAAAGCTAAATATTTAAAATTTAGGAAATGAAATTAGTGTACTTTTTTTCGTAAACATAAGTAGAAGAAAAAGCCATTTTTTCATTATTGCTTTATAAATTAAGTAGAATGTCCTAACAAGAAGAAATTTAAACTTTCAACAAAATATATATATTTTCTTTTAACAAAGGGCTCTTCTTCCGTTCATAGCAGACGATTCTTTCAGATTTCCCAAACGATTTTATTCTTGTATTTTAAGTTGAAGCAAAACTTATTCTTTTTCTACTTCATTCTTGAATTTTTAAATTTTATTTAAAATGATTTTAAGCACCTCTTACGAAAAAATATCAATATGTCTCTGTGAAAGACAAAATCGATGATGATTTTCAACTTTAATATGTTTATATCAACAATCAAAAAATATGTGTCCGAAATATATGCTAGATCTAATTTGATATTAATTTACTCATTAATATTTAAATATTTATTCAATATTTTAATATCCGATTAGAGTAAAATTTGAAAAATATCTGTATTGGGAATGGCTAGTGTGAGGATAACCAATATTTCTTACTTTACTTTAAGTTTCAATCATTCAGTTAAAAATCATTCTTGGCCATAGATGGCGCCACTGGAAAACAAGAACAATCGTTCTCCCTCTGCCTGAAACAGGCACACGTCAACAACATAAAAAATCGTTGTTCGGTATGCACTTGCCCTGCGTTATTCCATGCACTGATGTTTCTTTTAAGTTAAGTTCAATTGCCCGGCATTCCCAATACTGATATTTTTCTTGATTGGTTATTAAAATATCGAATGAATAATAGAATTTCAATAAATAATATAATATCAATTCGGGAATAATAAATGTGTCGGAATTTCATCAAAGGGACAGTCGTAGGATGGCGTGCTTAAGTTCTGGCTGAAACAAAAATACCATCACAGTAAAAAAATAACATACGGTTAAAAAATTTTGTACCATAGCAATATTCCATTTTTAGTAAGATGGATGCCGAAAGTTATCTTTAAACCTTTGCTAATAATTTAAAAATCATTCTCTATGAGCCATAAGCTTGCAACAGCATTGCGTGAAAAATAAGCTGCATGTAGCGTTTACTAATTCTGCGGTGCAATTTCCCCACATTGTGATACCATTCATACAATTCAAAAGTAAATGCGTGCTAGAAAAAAAATGACAGAAATAAGCGTAAGCTTTTAGAGATGAGATAGTTTCGACAGTTTTGGTATTAAATCGTAAGGGATAAGGACAGTTATGTAATTTTTATGTAACGTTACTTTATTTTACTAAACATACATTTCTAATCCATATAGCTTTCATTAACTAAAGTTACTTTTTAACATAAAACACAGTTTAAATGCCATGTTTAGAATATCTGTATACATTTTCTTTCAATGACAATGGCTACATTTGACAAAACGACCGGTTGACTGTGAACCACCAGGACACTGATAAACGTGTGTAGAGATGTCCAAGTCAGAAACTAAACTAGATCAGTGTCCCAATATCAGTCACTCAATTTCCGTTTGCGCTATTCCTATTGGACGATTCGTATTCCTATCCCATTAGAAACGTATTCCTATTGGTTGTATCTGTAACCAATTGATCATTGATCGATTACCAGTGGACAAATGAAGTGACGCCAGCTTAAATATTTCCATTATTTTAAAATTTATTTAGTCTTTGATTTATTGTACGTTTGCTGTCTAATTTAAATCATATTTTTTTAAGCGTTAAATAATCACATAATTATAGGAATTATATTATTTTCAGATCGAATACAATTGTATTGAATATAAAAATTGCAAAAGCTTTTTATTTACTAAGTTTTTATGTACTAAAATGTAAATACGAAAATTTTTATAACATCAATGAGTTAGCTTTTATGAATTTAAAATAAGGTAATTTTTATAGTTAATTATATTTAGTACTCCATCTTGTCCCCCCCCTCCCAATCAATTTTTCTCAGGATTGGAATGCGAGCTCAAACTCATCTCTAAAAGCGAAATTAATTAAGATTAGGTTGCAGCATCTTGAATGAGCAATAGAGCTTTTTTTTTCAAAATAAATTACTACAAACATACATAAAGTGTGATGTGAAGAAAAATTAGTGGTCCATTTTGAGTTCTTAATAATACTCGTAGAAGCAAGGAAAACGGGGCACATTTTTCCTTATTTAATGTTACGAAGCCAGTGTCGTGCTTTTGATCTTTCACCTACTATGGCTGAAGCCTGGCTCGATTACTAGTGCCAAAAATCTGAGTCTTTGATCGAGCTCTTTTTTCTCTGATAGTGATCCGGAACCCATCCTAATGTAATTTTGGATGGAAGTAGAGCTTGTTGCTCTATGAAGTAGAGAGATGGGAGGCACATAACGGATAGTAGTGCAATGTGCGCATGCGCCAGTATTGTCTCCTGATTATCATTAAGGATGAATGCCATCAAAATTAATTAGTGTAGCTGTAGAACAACGTTAGCAACCAGACCAAACTAAATGATCAATGTTTTAATAGCACATGGTGGGTCTTGGCTTTCATCTAAAGGTTCCATTAACGTATGTTATATTTGTAAAAATATTTTTGACGTATAGTTGTTTTTAGAGAATACTGCAAATTTGCGTGGGCATACAAATTTTCAGGCAATCGTAGCATTTTTTATGTAAATCGCATTCTTCAAAATTTTAATTTTTCAAAAACTATAAAAAAAGAAAAAAATTATATCCTAGATTTAAACTGTTTAATTGATTTCACATCATTTTTTGCATAAACTCTTAGTAAAGTGTTTATACATTTTAACGCTTTGAATTTACGAAACTAGTAATTTTATGATTAATTTAAAAGTACAAATTTACCTTTTTTTATAAAGATAATCAAAGTAACATAAATGAACAAAGATATATTTATTAAAAACAAAAAAAAAAAAATTCATAAAGTCACGAGTAAAATTTTTCGTTTGAAAGAGAGTTTATGAAAAAGGGCAAAAGTAAAATATCTATTGAAAACTCACTGGTATCAACTCTATCGCCCAATTAAAATGCTACAACCAAACAGGAAAGAATTAACTTTTATAAGAAGAGCCGTGCAAAAAAGAAAAAGAAGCAATTTTACTCTATTTATCAGACACACACCATTGTCCTTAGATCTCCACTTAGTCTCCCCTCTGCACTACTTACGCTAGTGTTGATCATTGCAACATGTTTAAAGTACCCAGCCTTTCCATCTGCCAGAGGTAGACGGATGAAATAGTACCGCTTGTCCTCTCCAAACACTGGTTTGTCCTGGATGTCGATCCAGCCGCGACCACGACTTTCTCTTGGAAGATTCTGTGCAAAAGAAGAAAAAAAAAAATTAAAGGTTTTAGTAAAGCGAATCGACAAGGTCTGGTTATGTTCGGCAATGGAATTTCTTCGTTTGTTCGGAGAAACCGATGTTTTTCTTTGATGGATGTTTCAAATCGTTGTTTTGGTACTGGAGTTTAATGATTTTTCTTATTAGGGTTAATGCTTCTGCCATTAGGGTACAAACTTAAGAAGAATTATATTTCCAATTCTTTTTTAAAATTTTTATAAAGAAAATAAACAAAAATTCGAGTAAAAAGAAGTTTGTCGAAACTTTCGTACTGGATTGTAATACTTTGAGTTTAATGATTAAAATGCCAAAGCTATGAAATGTTTTACGTGATAAATATGTGCAATTTTCCTAATTATTATGAAATAATTTTACATTGATTAAAATAAAAGCGAAAATAAAAGTTCAGATGCTTTATTAAATTAAAAATGACAGCGTTATGCTCCAACAAATTGGAAAGATGTGTACGTGCTGCTTGCAGAGCGCAACTAAGGTTTACAGTTCTCGGAATTAAATTCCAATTCTTGCATCCCTTTGTAATATGGTATCAAAATAATTTATAGGTCATGGCTTTTAAGGACCCTTATAAGTTTCAGATCATTTAAAAACTGAAATGGAATTATGAAATCTGCATTGAAAATATTTTGCTAACATTTAATGGTGGTTTTAAAACTCGATATTTAAACTCAATTTTGCGAAATTTTTCATTCGATTTATTTAATAGTTGTAGTTTCCATTACATTCAAAAGGATTTGATTGCGTTTACAATTTTTGATTAATTGGATAATAAGCGTTTATTCTAAGGTATTTTTTTTCAATCAAATTTGTCACTTTTTTGAAAGAAATATGTTTAAAAATAACTTTAAGTGTAATAAAAATTACAATAGCAATAAACATCATATTATACATTTAAGTAAATCTGATAAAAGGTTTAGAACTTAATTGGCCCATAATTAGCAAAAGAAGCATGTAGTATTTAAAAGAGGAAACCATTATATTTTTGAATTCTTTACTAATTATGTTACATGAGTTTGGTTACCCTCAGTGGCTGTTCCCGGGGACGCACGTTCTATCTTGCTTCGATCTAGCTACGTCACTAGCAGCACGCCTTCGTTTTTACAACCTATGATCCCTTTACCACTAGGAATATTTTACGCCCGTCAGCGCTGTGGTGGATATGAATATGTAGTATGGTGATATTTGGGTACTATTAAAAACCCCAGTACATTTATTAGGCGCATATATTGGTATAATAAGTTCTCATTACCGCTGAACCTATAACGTCTATGCCAGTAATATTTAACACCACATTTAGTTAAGCACACTTGGCGACAATAACAACTGGGCTATTTTTTACGGCCTTCAAAATAAGTACCGATGTTAGTTCGCCACAAATTCCTATAAAAATATGAATATAATTATCAATTATTTTTGAGAATTGCAATTAATTTTGGTAATAGATACAAATTGAAATAGAAAAAGGTTTGTATTAAAAACCTAAATTAATGGAGAAAAGGTACTTTTTCATCTAGGAGAAGCATTTAAAATGGACATTTTATTATTGATGCCAATGTGGCTGAATTGAGTTTGGTCACAGATACTACTAATATTATGGTAATTCTTGTTTTTCAATAGGTACACTGTAAAAAATGTGACGTTCTATGTCTCCGAATTTTATATTTAACCCTTTAAGAGCACTTGTTTTTCAATTAAAACACCAAATTGAAATTTCTTACACAATTTAAAAGGTGTTATTAAATCTCAATACTTAAAAAGGGAAAAGTTTATCTATTTTACATCAAGGAGAGTAAAAGCAAATTTTTGGTGTTTCACTAAGTCAGAAACTGTTGTTGGTTCTACACCACTTTTGAATGAAATAGTTTCAGCCATTTTTGGTGTTAAGTTACACTATTTTTCAAGGAGTACTAAATAAACTAATATTAATACCAAAATATCTTTTATAGGTACAAGGAAAATGAGAGTCTTATAGCCCACTGAAAGGAATAAATACAGGGGGAAATGGTTGATTATGGTAATTTTTGGTGTTATGTTACATTATTTTCCATTGTAATTGGTGTTAAGTTACATTATTTTTTACAGAGTACTAAATAAATTAGTAATGGTACCAAAATAACTTTTACAGGTACAACGGAAATGAGAGTCTTATAGCCCACCGAAAGGAATAAATACAGGGGAAAACGGTTGGTTATGGTAATTTTTGGTGTTATGTTACATTATTTTCCATTGTGTTTGGTGTTAAGTTACATTAATTTTTACAGAGTACTAAATAAATTAGTAATGGTACCAAAATAACTTTTAGAGGTATAACGGAAATGAGAGTCTTATAACCCACTGAAAGGAATAAATACAGGAGAAAATGGTTGATTATGGTAATTTTTGGTGTTATGTTACATTATTTTCCATTGTGTTTGGTGTTAAGTTATATTATTTTTTACAGAGTACTAAATAAACTAGTAATGGTACCAAAATAGCTTTTACAGGTACAACGGAAATGAGAGTCTTATAGCCCACTGAAAGGAATAAATACAAGGGAAAATGGTTGATTACGGCAATTTTTGACTATCAGACATTGACTTCGAGCAATAGCTAAATGATACTGAATGCAGTTATTCTTTATTTCGATGAATTGTGATTGTATAAATATATTTTGCTTAATTTAATAAAGCAAAGATACCAGGTAGAGATACAAATAATAATAAATAAATAAATTAAAATTGTTTTAATTGTTTAACTGTTTTACAATGTCTTTCTGTTTTGTGTATGATTTCTTATTGTTGACCAATGCCGATTTATTGATTACTAACTTTTTTCACAACTTACGAAGAACGGATATTTAGCTAGTAGAGAATAAAATAGATTTTTTTGTTTAATTATTTGTTAACCCGATATATTAATAAATCCAATCACTAAATATTGAGAAAATGCATGTTTTTTTTTGTGACTTTCATTAAAGAAGTGCACGAACTAATTCACTTTTAAAAATTAGAGTAACTTACCGTCAAACGATCTTCAGTGGCTAACAGATCTTGGAGGTAATGCTCAACTGCAATTTCTTATATTATTATTGTTAAAATAAAAATAAAAATTACTCACAAACTTTATTGTAACGCATTCAAGCAGTTCAACTGAAAAATTTCAAAAGACCTATATTTTGATTTAAAAAAAATTCTCATTTACAGAATTTATATAAATTCTCTTTAATCTTTGTTTTTCAATTCTTTTTAAATAAGCTTTTAAAGTTTTATTGCTTAATAATATTAAGTTAAAATTTCGTGCTTGAAGTGAAGTGACTTCACTTAATTCAAAACTTTTCCTAAATCTCTTTTAACCTTTCCTATCTCGAAATTACTTAAGTCACAATAAGTTAAAGTTGGGATATCCTAGGAAGCTTTGAGAGGAGGAAGTTACTTTGCTGATTTCACTTTAAGTATACTTTCAGTTGAAGTACCTTTTCGGTAAATTTGTTTAGTCAAATCAACTTGAAACGTAAACTTTAAAACTTACTTTATCACAGAAATAAAAATTTCCGGCTGAATCACAGATAGAGACTAGCGAAGAATTCTGAAATCTCATCAGCCATGTCACTGCTATTCTCTTTTCTGTTACCCATTGAAGAGAAGTGAAGTAAAAATCTCTGAAAGAAAAATAAACACGAAATTTTTACACAATTTGAAAAAGACTGAAAATTATTATTTTTTTATGTAATGGATGAGTGGAAGTTTCTTTTGAGCTCGGATATCTAGAGTAACTTATTAAATCTGTACATTGAAGGTTACTTTGTTACATAAAAAACTTTTTTTTTTATCGAGAAATATGTTACTTTTGTAACCGTTGTGAATTCGTAACGGTTATTTATAACTATTACGTAATGCTTGGTTTATTTTTAGCTAGAGTCTCATATTAGTTTCGTAATAATATTAATTACGAAAATAGCGTCCAAAGTCAATAAAAAAAAAAAACTCAGCTGTTTTGATGGAAATAAAAAGCATAGACAGCCTAATTATTTAAATATTTTTAAGTAACTACAACTCTGTTTTGTTAAGGCTCGAAAAATATGAGAATCATAAATTGATTTTAATAATTTGGAGAAATTCAACAAAATTAGTGATTTTTTTAATTGATAATTTAATTATTTAAAATATCTGCCTTTTTTAATATACCCAATCAGTTTATTTCAGAAACATAGTATTGAGTTTAAAATTAAAGCTTTGGCACAAATTAATTTTAGTCGTTCAAAATGCAGCTTTTTGTTTTCCCTGGTAATAAAATTAAAAATATCCTTTGGATTTTTTAAAGGAATGATTATGCCGCTTTATGGTACCTGCTTAGTCTAACGGTTAAAAATAAAATATCTTTGTTTCAAAACGAGGATTTCTATAGGAGGTTATATGGATAATTAAATCTTAAAGTGAGTTTTTTTTAGTATGTTTAAATATTACTTTCGCTGGAAGCTTAAGTTTTTGGATATTTTAATAAAAAATTACCTAGGATCGGTAACTTAGTAACTTAACACAAGTGCGATGGGTGCTAAATATTTCAATATTCTGGTTTTAGATGAAGGGTAAAAGGAATGCACCGTAAACTGTCTGCTAAACAATTCACATGCGAGCATTTTAAGTCAATGTAAAGTAGTGCTAAGAACGATGCATCCAGGTGAAGTAGGATGAATTTAATTAGTAGACGGTGGCTGTACCGTTTTTTTAAATAATTTCACGAATTACAATATCAGTTATACACAATCTTACTTTAGTTTATGTCTCTGAAGGATGACGCTATTTCTACTGTGATTCTGACCCTATCATGAGCGTCCAATTTTGATTTGAACCACCTTTATTTTATAGAAAGTAAAACGCATGCATTTCATGACTCCTAAACTTAACATGGTTAATCTCATTTGGGAATTCGATCTGATGTTGAGCAGTAAAACTAAATAATGGGATAGCAAAGAACACGCATTTTTAATCTTCTGATCTGCAAAACATGGATAAGTTTTCACGAAGAATAACAATTTAATCTAAATTTGCTGTCGTATTTTAAAGATGTTCTCTGTCTTTTTTTTCGTAATTTTTACCTGAGCTATTACTCAGTTAAAGAAATACTTGTGTAAGTCAGCAAAAGACAACCATTTTTCCAAAAAAAAAAAAAAAAAAAAATTAAAAAAAAAATTTGGTTGTCCACTAGTTGCTTACTTAGGTGCAAACATGAAAACAGTTCTCTTTGGAACAATGCTATCACATCATCAAACAGTATTTTGAGAGGGGAAATTATATTGTAAGAAACAGTTGTAAGTCAACGTTCAAACAATTTTAATACTAATTGTTAAATTATCATGAATACTATCCATACTTGCCAACTTCTGCGATATTTTCTGTGGTAGCTAATTTTAAGCTTTAAAATGTGTTTGGGTTGGAAAAACTTGTTTAAAATTATTCAAACCACAACAAAAATATATTTTTAGAGAAACGTATAACATCACTGAAAATTATGTTTTACATGTATAAAAGCATGAAAAATTTTAAAAACAGAATTGCTAATAACTTTAATTCTTTTACTTTTCTTTTAAACTACCACTATGAAAAAATGTTAGCAAAAATGGTAAAAGTTGGCAGCTATGTTAATTATTTATTAAGTCATGTACCCAAGTAATAGTTCCTCCTCAACCTCCTTAGGCCTCCTCAGTAGAGCTCAAAATTGGCTTAGCAAAGGTTTTACAATAACATTCACCTATAGTCCAAAAATGGGATGTATGGATTTCACCCCAATGAATGTATGTAGGCTTGGACAGTATTGAGTAATAGCTATAAAATTTGTTATAGGATACATCATCACAAGAAAGTAAGGTTTTTTGAGGTTAACAGATGTAAAAAAAAAAAAAAAATACACCTGAGGTAGAAAATTAAGCTATATTTTGTTCCAAAAAATAATCTCAAAAATAAACCTCAATTTCAACCTCATTTTCACCTCATAAAATCATCCTAACTTATAACTCAGCAATACTTTTAGTTGAGATTGGGGGAAATTATTCTCATTTAAAAAATACTTATTCGCTTGAAGTGTATAAAAAATAGCCTGTACATCTCAAAAATAACCTCTGATGGCTCTAGCCATGTAATTATTAGGGTAAATATATGCTGAAATAGTCAATGCTGAAATAGTGAAAAAGTCAACTGTCAGTAAAAAGGACAATCGAATTAAAATTTTAGCTACTTAAAAATAAATGAAGAATAAGATTTTACATAAAACAAACCTATGTCTTTTTCCGAATATTTATATTTTTTAATTCAGCTGCCTAAAAATTCACGATATCGTGACATAAAACATTTTTTTATGCACATATATGCACTCAATAAGTATTGTGGAAAAAAATATACTGATGGATCTTGACCTTGTGATGATCCAAGTTGCATTGCTATTAGGATAGATACGTGCAGAAACATGTTTCTGTAAAAATGACGCTACATATTAACACTGTTTTAGTAGCTCGGGAAAAAATTTAAAATTTAAAAGAAAAGTCTTATTCAAATATATGAATGCATTTAATTTATTTTAAATTACGTAGCTGAAAAATTTTTACGATCGAAATGAAGGTTTGAAACCAATTGGAGCATTTATATATTCAACAAGTAAAACGGAAATAGAAATGATGTATTGAAGAAATATCGTAAAAGAACATACTTTCCTTTATAATCGTCTGGAGGCACAATTTCTGTTTTGGCATAATCCATTCTCGTTAAATCTATCACCCATAATCTGACGGTGGGATTTTTCCTTCCCGCCTGAAAGCAGAATATAACCGTTAAGAACACACTCATAAAACCAAATAGGAAACATCTTTTAAAAAATTGCTATCACAAGAAGAAATCTTCTCTATCTTCGAACGAAATGACCCAGCTATATATTTTGAGATGATTTTATGAGTGCAAATGTATTAGAATGAGTTATGGAAAATGAAAGAAGTATATTCCAAAGAAATGAATATTGAATGAGATTTTCAGCACGTACGATTCGTTGAGAAAGAATTTAGTTTAAAAAAATACCGATAGATGGCGCACTAAAAGATAAAGTGGTATTCGATGACATTTGTTAATATATCTATTTTTAATAATAGATAAAATTCGAGATGATTTTCTTTGAAAGAATTAATTACTTATTTGATAAAATAAAGAAAAATATTAGCGTGTTTAATTTATATCCATTTTATTTTTAAAATTATAATTATTTGAAAAGAGAAAATGCAAACAATTGTAATTTAATTATGCTAAATTTTTTATTCAAAAAAATATGTAGAAACTGAGTGTAGTTAAATTATTATTTTAAAGAATTCCCACTGATATCACTGTGAAAAAATTTAAATATTTAAAGACTTTTACCTTCTGATGATGATAAAATATTGTTTGTACGATAATTATTTTTCTTTCTGATTCTATTCTCAGTTATTAATTATTCTGAGAATTCATTTATAACGAGAAAAAAAAAACTGAAACAGAAACATTTTATCTTATTTATGTTTCAAGACTTTTAAAATAAATTTAATTAACATAAAATGCAATTATTCTTTTTCTGAAGAGAAATAAGCTCAATTTTATCCGGTTTTTCTTTCACACGTTTAAATAGTTTTACAAACGATATTACTAGCTAACATATGTTTTTAACTATAATTATAAGTGTTAAGACTTTACGAATGACTTTTAAAGACATATTTTTTTAAGAAGTAGGATATAATTCATATCACATAAGACGTAGGTATGCAGTAATATGTAAGAATAACAACGATAAGTTAAGAAATATAAGTCAATTAAATTCATCTCATTCTGTATATTCCGTATATTTATTTTTGAATTTGATAAAAAGAAATTGTTACGTTTAAAACAATAAGTGCGAAATAATTACAGAAAAATATTATTTTTTTAAACTAACTGACATTTTTAAATAAATATTTTTATGTTTCGAAAGAAAACACTTCTTTTATAATATTCATCATAAGTAATTTATAATAATAGTAAATACGATTTTCGACTTTTTAAAAGGTATTCTAATTTTAAGAAATTAGAAAATAATGAGATAAATTATATTCTGCCTTATCTCAGTTTACATAACTTATTCTTTTATAATGTTTTATTTTTAAATAATATTAACACTATTTTTAATTAACTAGACAGAAATGATGATATTAATAACAGACATTGATATGTTTTCACGGAAAGGAACATAAATCTAATAATTTTTATGAGATTAGCTGCTTCTCTAAAAATTCATGATTGAATTTAGGATCTTTTTTCAACGCTTGTCTGTTTTAAATTAGTCTACGTCTTTTATAGAAATGATAACATTAATAAAAAAAAATGTTGAAATATTGTCATGGAAGGGAACATGAGTCAAGTAATTTGTATGAGATTAGTCCCTTCTCTGAAATTACATGCCAGATTTTAAATTGCTTTTTTCAACGTTTGCGTGCTTCAAATTTGTCCAAGCGTTTTTAATTTATCTAAGCAATACAAATTATTAAATTTGTCTAAGCAATAAAAATTATTAAATTTGTCTAAGCAATAAAAACCCGTCAATAATCTATATGAATTTTTAAGTGACATTTAAAAGCAACTGATGCAATTTCATTTAAAAACAAATCACGAAAATGTAATTTTCAATGCTTTATTTTATTTATACATAATAAACGGAAGATCTAGTTTGTCTATTTATGTGTTTTTTCAATAACTACGGAGCCCAACGTTTGTGCTAGGTTCCTGAAATTTTCACAGGGGGTGCAAGGGGCAATTTTAGCCACCAAACCTGAAAATAAGTTTCAAATTGGTTTAGCAATAGCCATTGTAAAATTAAACTGTAGATGGTTCTATTTTTTTATACCAAAAAATAATATCAGTAATGTTTGCATGCTTACAGCTCTCTTTAACCAAGAAAGAAGTTTTTTCCATGTTCTGTAATATTTATTCATTTTCTTAGGTAAGCTAAATAACGAACGTGGAGGGCAATTGGGTATAATATGAAAAAAACACAACTACTTCGATTTAGTAGGAACAACATATGACGCAATGCTAAACGAATGGAATTTAGTTGTTGTTTATTTAGTTATTGTTATTAGTAGTTGTTGTTATTTGTTTTAGTTGTTGTTGTTTATTTAGTTGTATTTAGTTTCAATAACTTTTCTTTATAATGCAATAAAATCTGGCGAGCAGCTATTTAAACGATCGAACACTTCGTTTGTTTATTTGTGGCTTGAAGTTAGGCTCGCAGAAAATGCCGTTCATGGGTTAAATTTAGTAGGAACAACACAACCTGTGACGTAGGCTATAGTATACCCAATTGAGTTTAAATTAAATATTGTCATGTTTTTAGTGCATGAATCTGAATTGAACAACCTGATAATGCTCACTCTGGTTATTGTTATCTGGTTGCTCACTACGTGCTCTTGCGCGCCGAATCCAATCAATTAAAAATGAAAACTGTTGCCAGCGCGAGAAAAGAAATATCATCGGTTTTATTGATACATACATACGTACGTATCAATACGTTTTATATAATATAGATTTATTGACCATCTAAGTTATTTAAATTTTCTACTTTTTTATTATATTATTCATGTATTACGATTAATTCTTATATAGTTGAAAACTTTAACACTTGTTAAGTTTCTTCAAACTCAAAATATGTTTTTCCTGCGGAATTTTACTATTTTAATAGCTCTTGTATAACGTGAACTACAGAAATTGTTTTAATGCCTTTGTCGCATTATTATATGAAATAAAAACCGAATTTTCTACTAGATATCAATAATACATTTTAAATGCTGTCACTTATCTTTGAAACAGTTTTTTTAAACATAAATATAGTTTAATTATTAATAAGTTTAAATTTATAATCAATACTCAAGTCAAAATTCTTGATGGGGCATCAAAAAATTTTGATGGTTTATGTTGGTTTCAGTGCATGATGACATCATTTGATGGTCACCATCATCCAACATTTTCCATTACGTGTTCATGGTTTTTAATATGCCAACAAACTTCCATCATTCCATGATGGAAAATGCTACTTTAATACTCTGATGGTTAACCATCAAGAGAAGTTTAACTCTCATGGATCAACAATCCATGATGATCCGTTATGTTCCATGATGATTCCAACTATACATTTCCATGATCATTTAATGAGAATTCTTGTTGGTTCTCAGGAATATACCGTCAAAACAATTTTTTTTTAATGTTGAGCTGTCATAAATCGGTACGAATTCCTACGGCGGGATGGTGTTTCTTCATGATCGTTCCAACATTTGATTTCTAAGATAATATGATGGAAATTTATGATTTTTCAACATGAAGAAACCATCAAAACAAGTTGCTATTCTTACGTTGGACCATTATAAATCAGTTCGAATTCCTACATTGAGGTGATGGTTACTTACGTTGGTTATCATCAAAAAATATAATGGTTCATAGTGGAATTATGGATGTTTACCATCAAGATTATGTTGGTCCATCAAAGGAAAAACATCGTAAATTTTGACTTGAGTACTAATTATAAATTTATTATTAATATTAATTATAAATTTATTATTAATATTAACTATAAATTTATTATTAATATTAATTATAAATTTATTATTAATATTAATTATGAATTTATTATTAATATTAATTATAAATTTATTTTTAATATTAACTATAAATTTATTATTAATATTAATCATAAATTTATTATTAATATTAATTATAAATTTATTATTAATATTAATTATAAATTTATTATTAATATTAATCATAAATTTATTATTAATTATAAATTTAGATTGCAAACCTAGAAAAGTGTAGATTCTTACAATATTTAAAGTGGTTGTAGAATAACAATTAAGTTAAGCGCAGTTTGCTTAATTTTGAAATTACATGAAAATGTCACTTCACAATGATCAGGTCTTTCATATTAATCTGTCATGAAAGCTTTAATCAGTGAAAATCCAATTGTAGATTATAGACCATTTTATATATTAAAAAATTACCCATTGAAGCGGTAAAAGCTGGTATTTATGTATTTTTAAAGCTTTAATATTAATTAAAATTATATTGTTCCCACAACACAATATTTGTAGTGCATTTTGATTTTAATAGCTTATTTTTATAAGTTACGAACAATTTATTAAATAAGTTTTATGACTTGTCGGAATATATTGCCCTATTATATTCATATTAATCCCAAGTAAAAATTGATTACTTTAGATCTCTTTTCTCTATTATACTTCAGTATTCAATCTTCAGTTTATCATGCTTGATGAGCTAACTAGTTTTAGTAATAGGCTTCTAAATTAGCATTAATAGAATTTTTACATTATATAGTAAATAATTACTTTTTTATATATTTACTTACTATATTATATTGTAAACATAATAATATTTGCTTACCGTAATTTGCTTTTCATAAACTATCTCATATATGAATTAGTAAAGACCTAATTTAATTATTATATTCTGCTTTTGATTATAATATTATACTAACTATTAATTTATGTATTATTATAATTTGATATAATTGGTGTATTATGATGTACTGAATCATGCAACTTTTTTTTGAACAATTTCATTTTATAAATTACCTGACTTTTAAAGTAAGTGAAGACGTAATCTAATTATTATATTACAATTCTTTCTTTTGCAAAATCGATAATAAAGTTTGTCGCTACCACTGAGAAGTAATTTTCTGGATGAAAACGTCATTAAGTTTTTTTATTTGAATGATTTATGACTTTTCTTCACTTTCTATTTATTAGAAA